CATCTTTTTTATGACATAATATAATTCCGTCAATCAATTTGACAGGCCGTTTGAGGGCATAATGAGATGACAATCCATTATGCCCTTGGGCGTAATAGACTGCTTCATATATCACATATGACAGATATAATTGACATATAATAGGCAAATGAAAAATAAAATATTACATGTGCCAATTTCTACGGTGCTGGCGATGTCAAAACTTTTGGTGCAAATATGGAGGAGCGTACTCTCAAAGGGCGGAAAGATGGTCTAAACAAGACACATCCTGGCGATGTGTGAATTGTGAATGTCTCGAAAATGATGGAGGAAAGTACCTACACATTTGAAAAATTAATATTTCGAAGAATTTCTCTAAGGATTTGATTCTTCTTGCATTATATATTTTATATTATATTAGCTAGGACTTTGAATGTATGTCAAGCGGCCTTTAAGTGTTTTATGTGTTCCCTCGCCATTAATCATCTAGGAAGGAGGTAAACATCAATAAATATAACTTGCTACTACCTGATACCAACTATTTGCTAAGCTATTTCGGTTTAAAAAATGGGCTTTATCTGCACAAGACTTATGTACAATTTATACTTGTTTTGTACCGTATACTTTCGATGATATATGACATTCAAGGAAACGACAAATTTTAGTTTTTTTGAAATTACGTCCGACCTATTTGACATTTTGAACTTTCTCAAGCAAATTTTAAATAAGCATCTAAAATCGCAAAACATTGGCCCGTATGAATAAAAGTAAGCAAATGCTTATACTTGAAAAATTCAAAGTAAATACTAGTAACTGCCCCTTCATACTGGTCTGTTTAGCATGGTTTAGCAGCGCTGCACTGCATCCTGTCCTTCTGCTTAGAAACGCTGCTAAGTCGCCCAGTGCGAAGGAGCACTTACGAGTATTTACTTTGAATTTTGTAAGTATAAGCATTTGCTTACTTTTATTCATACGGGCCATTGTGTATTTAATCAATTCTCTATCTTTAATAATAAGAAAGTTACCCATGCATACCCACTCCATCTGGAAGACACTATAATATATACTTACCTACTTACTCGCCTACTTTTGTTAAGGTCTATTTCTTGAACTCTGTTTTCTCTGGTCGCTTGCCTCACTAATTGAATCGAATGTGGTGTTGTTAAACGCACCTTCGATATCTAGAAACGCTCTCAGCACTACCCCCGCAGACATTCCCTTTTCCAGCTTGCAGGGGCTGTATAAAGCCGTCTCCATGAACATACCAGTCCTGTAAGCATGTTGGAATGGATGTACTGGTCTAAGAACCAGTACCCCATTCCTTACATATGCATACACCAGCTTCTCCACCACACGAGCCAAAAGCTCATCTTTCTCGCCGGTAATAATCCCGACTCCTTTTCGAGGTCGAATTCGCGGGATTGAGCCCCCTCCGTCGGAACGACACTGGGTCCTGCTGCTCCGGTGGAGCTCTCCCACTTACTTGGCGCAGCCGGGCTTTCGTCACGAAAGTGACGCGCGAGACCCCCGCGGATGCCTGAAAGTTCTGCTTCTGCTTGTGATCAGATGCCTCAACACCAAATGCAACCAAATGTGACACCATACTCCTCCCTGGGAAATAACAGCCTTCATAGGCTTGTCCTAAAACCAGCATTTTGCCTCTGGAGGCGCTTCAAAATGGTGGTAGTGGCATCCGGGAGCCCATATAACACAGCCATCACCTTGGTTACCCTAAAGACGTGCCTCTGAACTTTTAGAGACGCACTATCCTCGGGCCTAATAAGAGGAATTCGACCACAATGCCACCCTGCGGATTCCAGCCGAGGAAATGGCCCCCTCCTCCATGCCGTCGAAAACTGCATTCAATGCAGTCATAATGTAGCTCGATTGAGGTTTTCGCGAACCTGTGCCACGTTTTTATGAAACTTTTATTATCACAAACTGAATCAGTCTAGGTATGTTTGTTTCTAAGATACAGGGTGAAAGCGAAAAGTTTCGACTTTTTGGGACGTTATCATCTCTTACTACTCATGTAAGATAGGCAAAGGGTACAAACTGCCTATGTTAGATATTTTTACATAGAATCCAGGGGCGTACTAACAAAAATGTTTGCCCCATCGTTTCAGAGATTTGACCGGGTGTGCATTTAAAAAATACCAACTTTGGGTCAAATTTCAGAAACGATAGACTAAAAATTTTTATTTTTTAATTACGCCACTGGATTTTGCGTGAAAATATCTAAAATAGACATACCATGGTCGTATACACAGGTCTGGAAATCCTTGAGGCTCTTGCATGTCGACAAACTGGTAGTCCCTCGCTCAGCTACTAGGTGGGGCATGGATCTAAGTATGTTGTCAGGATTAGGTGTCATAGCGTATAGCGGGTATACCTAAGTGTATGTAAAGTATGCATTCTGTTAGTGTTAGTGCAGATGATTTCACTGTTGACTAATTAAAAAGAACGATTATAGTTATAATGTCACATTGGAAATGATACTACAGAAGACTTCATTTATACTAATAATTTGCGGCTTAGTTGTAGGCGGAAATTAGAGGCGACGGCAAAATCAGGTTTCTTTCATTATAATTGTTTAGGGTACGTTCTGGATAGGTACATTCAATGGAGAAAATTTGCCTGGAATCCTCTATCCCATTCAATAAACACCCTTAAAACAACTTTCCGGATTCGAAAGCATCCACTTTTTACGCATTTCCGCATCTTTCGGCACTTTAAAAACAGAAGTATTTTGTTTAACACTTTTTTGTACCCCGTTTTGTATTTTGGCACATTGCACAGCGTCGTCATTTTGTGTCAAAGCTGCGGTTTTTTGCGCAGAGGTTCATTCATGCTTTTTATCCTTTCCATAATTATGTTATTACCATCGTTACCATGCGATGCGGAAACAATTGAAATTCATTCACCAGTGGAGACATCTGCTGTTAAAGTCATGACACACTACGCTGTTTGTAGTAAGTACATAATTAGATTTGTCCTTTTTTATTGAGACTTTAAAAATATAATTCTAAGGAGTGGAGCAAATTAATAACAACTATTAAACAATACTTTAATAAACCTGTAATTTAAATATTTATTGTAGGTAGTTAAGATATAGTAATCACCTAGATAATCAGTTAATCACATTAAGTTGCAATTTTCAATTTAACTTGTCTGATAAATAACCTACTGTCAATACATATTGCATTTGTTTTGATGGAAGTTAACTGTCAGTTTGATTCAATGGTAACATAAATCCCTGTCCTAAACGTGGGTTTAGGGAAGGCAATTAAGTTAAGAGAACTTGCAAATACAAGTATCTTGAAATGAGTATGTTTTAATCTCAGTTTCTTGCTACATTGCAATGCGTAACACATCACACCGTGTACACGCTTTAGATATTTAAAAAAATACATGATAACTGTTAAATCCAAAAAGTTGTGATGCAGAATCTGTGGTTAGGCTGCGGTCAATCAACCGTATTAGTTTTCAATTTTTTGCATAATAAAGACGGAAAATTGGAAAAATAAAACCCCTATCTTTTTCAATAATCTGGGATGCCATGGAATTGTATAATACAAAAACTACGCCAATATCCGTCATGCCATGGAATGTTTGCTATAAAACAAATCAAATTCTATCAAAAAGTATTATATTTAGATCAGCGAATTCAACATAAAGAAAGACCAAATTACTATAAACGGTTGCCTAATATAACAATTTACAATAAATGTTCGGAAAAGTCACCATTAAATGCAAGACAGTAACCAAGTCGACAGGCCTGTAGCTAGACGTTAATTTCAGAGGGGGCAACTCAAAATTCAGAGGGGGCAAAATTATTTAATAATTTAAAAGCAGGTGACGATAAAAATCCCTTAACAAAAAAAAACAACTAAGAAGGTATATTTGAAATGCAAAAATAAAATCAATGCGTTTACATATACATTAATACATATAAAAGACAAAAAAAGGTTAATAACATGACGAATAAGATAATATACAAAACACTAATATAATTGCAATTTTCTATTTTTTCTGTTATTAAATTTGTTTAAGAACACATCCAAGTTTATATTATTTGCACGTTTGCTTTCAAACGCTAAATATATTAGGTTGGCCATTCGACTATGGGACATTGAGTACCTTTGTGGTCTATTTATTCGGGTTAAGGTCGAAAATGAAGACTCACACATAGCTGTGCTACAGCCAAATACAGCCACAGTTGCATACAATTGGTAAGATTCTTTAAAGGCATCACGTTGATTGTAAAGAACTTTAAGAATGTTCCGTTCCTCAACCTCCTTACTTTCTAGATATAAATATAACTAAATATAAATACACACAATTTAATTTTTTTTGAGCGATTTAGGTACTTAATTTCTTATTTTTTAAAGATCCAACCAATTTTTCTAGAGTGGGCAACATTTCTTATCAGAGTGGGCAATGCCCACCCTGGCCCCTCCCTAGCTACGGCCTTGCAAGTCGATCATAAAATCAATTTCGAACTGCTGCTAATTGATAACTGGATAACTTTTTGTTTTAGAAAATTCCAAGACATCACAGATTATTGAAAAAGATGCGGGTTTTATTTTTTCAATTTTTCGTCTTTATATTCACAAAAATTGAAAACTAATACGGTTGATTGGCGTGAAAAAATTTTTTCTACAAAAAACTTTCATACATTTTTGCTCTAAAATAATTTGGGGAGCCAATAATCGCATGTTATGAATTTTACATTGAAATCACTATGATGCGTTACGCAAGTCACCACCCTGTATAGCTCGGTAGGCCATATTTACTTATTAATAAGGTGATATAACTTGACTTGTAATTGCAGATGGCATTGTTGTAGCCCATTTTTCAATGAAAATAGTATTAACTGCTCAACACTGACACATTTTGTTGCAAACAAATTTCCTTTTTGTTTTAACTGTTTTGAACACACTGGCTCATAACCTGATGGACATAAATATTGTGCAAAAATTGTAAATTAACACTGATTTACATTTACAATTATTTTTCAGATATCGGCCAATCTTTTTCGCACATTACCACCTAGTGAAAATCCCGACTTCGATCCCGAAGAAGACGATCCTACGTTAGAAGCCAGCTGGCCGCACCTACAACTAGTATATGAATTTTTCCTAAGATTTCTCGAAAGTTCCGATTTTCAACCGACGATTGGAAAACGTGTCATCGATCAAAAATTCGTATTGCAACTATTAGAATTATTCGATTCCGAGGACCCAAGGGAGCGGGACTTCCTTAAAACCGTACTTCATCGTATTTACGGCAAGTTCCTCGGACTACGCGCTTTTATTCGCAAACAGATTAATAATATATTTCTTAGGTGCGTTGACGACGCCATGTCAATTGTTTTTGTTAAGCCGATTTTGTTTTTAGGTTTATTTACGAGACTGAACATTTTAATGGTGTGGGCGAGTTACTAGAAATATTGGGATCCATTATTAATGGATTTGCACTACCTTTAAAAGCAGAACATAAGCAGTTCCTTGTCAAAGTGCTCATCCCCCTGCACAAGGTGAAGTGCCTGTCGCTGTATCATGCACAGTTAGCCTACTGCGTGGTGCAGTTCTTGGAGAAGGACCCCACGCTCACGGAGCCGGTGGTGCGTGGCCTGCTCAAATTTTGGCCAAAAACGTGTAGCCAAAAAGAAGTTATGTATCTGGGCGAAATCGAAGAAGTCTTAGACGTTATAGAACCTTCACAATTTACTCGAATTCAAGAACCTCTGTTTCGACAAATATCTAGATGTGTATCGAGCCCTCATTTTCAAGTTAGTATTCTCGATTTATTTATCTATTTCATTTTTATTGTTAATTCAATACAAACTAACAGCGTGTCACACAACGAATGTCGGCTATCTATCTGTCTATGAATATTTGCCATAATTTGATGGTATACTAAAGTCAATAAGAGGAATCCGTCTAAATATTCTTAATTTAGTGGTACTTCGGTTATATCGGAAGTTGATTGTTTTAAATCAGTGCTGCTCAACCTCATGCCCGAATTTCGAATGGCTCGCGCAGGCAAGTTTTAAAATCCCTGCCAAATTGAAAGAGTTCTGTTTGCGCATGTCACCAATCGACTCCCCCGCCTTCACCGCGCGTGCTTGTCTCGTGACGCCAAGAATCAATAGACTCTCAAGTCAATGGAGAGCGCAATAGGTTGATGATTACTGACTTTTTCGTTCCACAATTGAATGGTATTAATGCGGAAGAGTTTTGGTTTCAACAAGATGGCGCACCATGTCACACAGCGCGTGAAACAATCAATTCATTGTAGGAAGTGTTCGATGAGCGTATAATTTCGCGTAGTGGACCTGTAAATTGGCATTTGCCATCTTGTGATATCACATCTATGGATTATTTTATGTGGAGATATGTGAAGTCGTTAGTATATGCTGTTAAACCACGGATGTTGGACCACTTGCAGGTTAACATTTGTCGCGTTATTGCCGATATACGGCCCCAGCTGCTTGAAATAGTGGTCGAGAATTGGGCTTCTTTTGACTTATTAAACCTAATTAGATTTGGAAAGCTCTTGTCCTGATGAAACTCGTCTCTAGAATATACTTTTCAGCTTGCAAACTTATTTTGTTGAACGTCTAGCTATTCAGGATATATCTTCTATCGAACAGTTAAGTATTTTGTGCAAAAGGCGTGAAGGTTGAATCTTCCTTACAATTAACTGCGCTTACTTGCTGGAATTGCGGTAAAATGTCGATTGTAATTGTGTGAGCCCTCGAAAATTCTTTTGTTATGCATGTGGTCAACCTAATATTACCAAGTAGGTCTTGTAAAAAAAAACGGACAAAGGCCGACAATCAGCCCTATCGAAAGTCTTACCGTAAACTCCAGGTTTTCTTGTCGCCCACAAAAATCTTAAAAATATCAAGTGGGTTCCTTAACTTACAAAGTCCCTAATGTCGAATGGCAACAGTGGTTGGCCAAGGTGAAAGATTTTCACTCTCTCAGTCACTTTACAGCGTATCCACAATTATCTGATGTCATCTTTCGCCTACCGCATTACAATTGCTTGTACCTTTCACTATTAATTTACGATGATACAGTTTCTGCTTTAATTGATACTGGTTCCAATTTAAATATTTTAGGAAGCCCAGGTAGCCATCTTATTAAGAAGTATAATTTAAATGCTGCTGTCACTACTGCAGATGGGTCATCTCGCTCTATTCAAGGAGTAGTTCAGATTCACATAATATTTGGTAACTGGAAGGGTTTTATAAAAAAACTTTCCGATGGTATTCTCGATAAGCATACCCAAAAACCATGTTCCATATCTGAATCGTCTGATTGGCACGTTCGTTAAAAAATGTTGATCAGTCCTGTTTTAAATGGAACTCCCTATATATTATTTTATATAAAATTAAGCATGTGTTTAGTTACCCCCTGTGATTTGAAAAATAGAATTTTTAAAATTACCAACGTTCACGGTACGTAATAAAGAAAGCCGTACACAAAGGAGGTTTGGTTTTGACCTCCCACAGAAGAATTGTGTGCAGCGCAATTTCAGTAGGCATATGAAATATTAATATTCATAATTCTTTCATGGGAGGTCGAAAGAAGACCCTATTCATGTCCTTTGTGTATATATTTGTTTATTATGTACCTTGAGCGTGAGTAAATTTAAAAACTGTATTTTTCAAAACGCAGGAGGAAACGGCGCTTGCGCATTTTACGTAGTGGCGTCGGATTGTATATTCGAATGGAATAATGTACTGTAAATAAATTATTACAGTAATGCATTTATTAATCTAAATGACATAACCAACTATAGGTCATCTATAAAAAAGTATGTACCATACAGTAAATTATATGATTACAACAATCTATTTGCGACAATATGATATTATGGGTTTTTGATGACCACTAATCAGATTTATTATGATCCCAATATATATTTGTATTTTGACATCGACTTTTATTGAAAACAATTTCAAAGTTGTTAACTTCATTATCTTTGCTTCCGAGGTATATTCTTTTATCGCTGATATCTGTCTGAAAGATATGCACTAATGATTATTTTAGAGTTTATGAGTAAGTGACCGTGACTTATGTATATTACTATTGAAAGCTTTTTTATATGTGCAAATATTAAGGAAACATAAATATTAAACAATGTTAACCTTTGTCGGCCTGAATTATAAGGTTGACGAATATATGTTGGTCGGTAATTAATGATTCAATCATTAATTTTGGCAGTTTTTATTTGACATCAGGCTGCTGATAAATAAAAAATGAATGTATACTCCGTTCAATAGTTATTGTGCAAGTAGGTGGCAATGGAATTTTGTTTTTATGTTTAATAAAATTAAAAATCCCTGTCGGAATCAGGAGTGTCTAATTTCACTATTTGAGGTTAAACATACAATGTTGTCAGTGCTTTCATACTTTGTTTGCCACTAGACCTAATATGTTGGTATATCGGCGTCATGGATACGTATCAGTCAATTGTGATTTATAATTAGCGAGTTTGCCTACACGTATTTTCCGTTACGTTAGACGGCCATTTTTCTTATGATATAACGTAAGGGAAATTTAGAGAAACACGCTTGCGGATAAGTTTATTGTTGTTTATGATTTTAAAGATTTCATAACCTTACACTTTCTATGTTGTGAGAATGGCGAAGCTGTCTGAAAATGAAATACTTTTGTTAGAAAGAGCAATTGCAGAAAGGAAAAAACTTGATTCCATATAGAAGTTTAATTTTGATTCCATTCCATTTTAGTTAGTTACCTATTTCGATTTGAGAAAAATGACATACCTACAACATTTGTACTCAGCTTTGCAATTACCCAACAGGTTTGAAACATATGACCAGCACATTGCGGATGGTAATACCTAAAAAGTACGTCATTTACCGCTCTTCTTAGGCAGTGCAGGGTTAGGCATGTTTCTTCAACGATCAGCTTATCCTAAAACAGGTTGAAGGCACTATAACAGCTGGAATTTGATTGGTTTACGTTATTTATAAACATAAGGTATAAAAGTGTCTTTATACGGTATAATTCTTAAGCTTTTTTACGTTATAAGTTATAACCACAAGTTTTATAACGTAAAATATACATCCGCAAACTCGCTATTAAGCAAATATGCCAAAAATTATAAACTCAGATGCGAAAATGCAAATTTTAAAGGCCTGCAGGCATTATAAAGCAAACAGGTCAGACCTAAGGAAAGCGGAAATCTTAGCCCGGCTTAGTGACGTTTTTTTTGGGATGCGAGTTGAACTATGGTTTGGTCTTTTGGTCTAATTTTGGGGTTTGTACTATTCTAGGTATCGGAAAAAACCATTGACCGAATTATCTGGCTGGATACTTTTGAATTGAAACCTTTTGGCCCACGACCTAAAACTGATATTATATATAAAAAATTTTCATTTCGGGACGATTTGCAACGACTGATTTGGAATTATCACTCGAAAAATGAACACTTTACTTTGGCTTACTTACTAAGGGACACGCGGGAAAATTTTGATTTTGATAAGGGAAAAACTATACAGGGTGTCAATTGTAAAACTTGCAGTCGGCCATATTTTCCAAACTAATGAAGATATTGAACATCGCTCAAAACCGTTTCGGGGGTATCGAGGGGAAACCAGAATGGCGTTATGAGTGACAACCCCCTTTAACCCACTAGCCCCCCCTCTTCAAATATCCTAAATGGCAACCCCATACTTGTGACACATCGTTGGAAAGCTACTGAAAAATGCTTTCCAGTGGTAGCAATAAAGTCAATATTCATTAAGGCAATTTTAACAAAAATTTAATAATTAACAAAAAAAATAAATGTTAGACATTGAGGGATGTGGCAAATTGGCCAAGAACTTCAACCTGAGCTGCTTCATTAAGCAATCTTGGTTGCTTTCTTTTTTTTTTATTGATAACAGATGCCGTTTCTTCAAATTTAGCGACCAAATCTTGAACATATGGGCATGGCTTAATTTTTATTTTTTTTTGTTAATTATTAAATTTTTGTTAAATTGTCTTAATGAATATTGACTTTATTGGTACCACTGGAAAGCATTTTTCAGTAGCTTTCCAACGATGTGTCACAAGTATGGGGTTGCCATTTAGGATTTTTGAAGAGGGGGGGCCGGGGGGTTGTCATTTCATAACCTCAATCTGGTTCCCCCTCGATACCCCCGAAACGGTTTTGCGCGATTTTCAATATCTTCTTTAGTTTGGAAAATATGGCCGACTGCAAGTTTTAAAATTGCCACCCCGTATAACATTCTAAAATCAATGATAAATACTAAAATTCTCTGTGAACAAAAACATGTTGTTGCATCCAAAATTACATTTTTGCGGAAATGAAATGAATGGAAACACCAAACTCGTCAAGGTTCCAGAATTTAAAGAAAGATTCAAGGATTTCATCCAGAAAGAACTAGAGAATCACAATCCTCGTCACGAACTCAGCAGGGGAAACACCAGTGAACACCCAGAAGAAGAAATGCGAGAGCAAGACACCATCAGGCCGCTGCTCTAAGACTAAAAGGTTCCCCAAAGAATAGTAAGCTACCCACCAGAAATAAGATTAACAGAAATGTACTAATCATCAAACAGCACAGACAGAAAACAAAAGACGCAAGGAAGAACATTCCAATGGCACTGTGGAAGCAAGACCTACACTCAAGTGCAGTTAGGTATCAATGCGGTCGTTGAGGTCAGCTCGGGTATGATGGTACTGACTTATCGTGCAGTGGTTATCTTCTGAGAATCTACACCACACATCTCCCAAAGCGGATCCAGTCCCAGACTAAATCTGCTCGAAGTTTAGACCAGCATATCGGATTTAAATGTGGAAGTGTTCATATGTCGTTCATATGTTTGTTCATAAAGACCACCACCAGCAACCTGCTATTACTAAGCATATAATTGTAAATAAGTTCATATATAACAGCCTTTTGAAATTAATAATGTTCATTAGAGCCATTTACCTACTCAATAAAGTATATGAAACATATTGAGCAAGTTGTTTCTCATGAAATTTATACGTATTAACCTATAACAAAATTACAACAAAATCCAAAACTAAATCTGGCAATTAGGTTTTGCACATTGACAGGAAATTACCATATACACATATAGTGAATTTCATCACAACATGGCCTACTACTGGGACAATAACTATTGAACGGAATATAATTATACTTTAATTCAAAGTAAGTTGTGTATGACTCATACACCTTATGTGATATTGAGACCCAAATGTTTTGGTTTTCAGTTTGAGATTATTGATTATGAGCTATTAAATGGTGGTTTTATTTTGAATTGAACTATATCAAAGCATAATGTAATGTGAATGTTTAAATTATAAAAACATGTAATATAATATTGATTTAAACAAATTTTAGGTAGCAGAGCGAGCTTTGTACTTTTGGAACAACGAGTACATTATGTCTCTTATGGAAGAAAACAATCACGTTATAATGCCAATTATGTTTCCTGCACTGTATCGAATTTCGAAAGAACACTGGAACCAGACAATAGTAGCGCTTGTATACAATGTACTCAAGACGTTTATGGAAATGAATTCGAAACTGTTTGACGAATTAACGGCTACCTACAAAGCGGAAAGGCAAAAGTAAGTTTTGTTTTGCTCCCGACGGTTGCACTCAAAAAAACTTTTCAGAGAAAAGAAAAGAGAAAAAGAAAGAGATGAACTATGGAAACGATTAGCCGAGTTGGAGTTAAATCATAATAAAAAAGTAACGCCCATTGCCAATAGTCCCGCCAATAAAAAGTGATACCACAGCCTAACTGTTGCCCCAACCCACATTTAGCTATGCGTTGGTGAGTAATTGACGCATTCACAGTGTATGGTAACAGCTCGGAACACTCTAAATTATTGTTTGATTAATACTTGTTTTTGTTTACTGTAGTTCTATAATTTTGATAGACATAGTCGAATTAAGTGTAATTTTGTGAAGATATTTTCTTTGTCGCTTAATAAAGATCATTTAGGTGTCTTCTGTAATTTTGTGTGTACCGAGCGGGGCCAGAACTGATGTGGCTAGACAGTTCTCAAAATGCAAGTGTTAGTTTCGTCATATTCAAGGTGTATTTTTTAAATTATTGTGAATGTATACTAACTGCCTGTCTTGTGGTGTTATAATTGCTGTGAAGGACAGGACGATGTTATAAATATGTGCTATAGTATAACTGGTCAACTGTAAATAGCTATGCAACGTGGTTACGGTTTGTGTTTGGACTGCGGTTGATCCACTTCACTTTCATTACATTGCCGACACCTAAGGTGACCGGTCGGAGATATTCTGCAATTATTTTCTAATCGTAATTTATTTTTATGAGTGCCAAAAGGACTTCATCATAAGTCTGACGTGACTAAAGTTACTAAGCTGAATTTTTATGTGAGTAATAATGTGAGGAGTTTTATCTAATTTGATCAGCACTTGTGCAGTGTGAATGAGAAAAAAGCAGGGGTCTTCTTTAGTTTAATTCCGACAATCTATCCTCTCATCCCTTTAACACTTCGATGGATCATATAGAAATTCGGCTAGGAAGAAATGCCCAGTATATTTTGAGTCGATATTTCAGGGAAGAAAAACTGAGAATCTTATAACAAAATTGTGTGAACAATGCATACAGTGTTTTGTTGTTTGAGATGTCACTTTAAGTTCAAATAACAAAAAAGTTTTTATGTCAGTCTGTTGTTTACATGTACAGGGTCTTTCATTAAGGATAAATACTGAGATTCTTCCGTATCTTGGGAACCTAGGTCGAAAAATTTGAGAAAAACAGGTTTGTAAGGTATATAAGCACTACATACGAGCCTCAAACGGTAGATGTGATTAATAATGTTTCTAGATGTGCCATAATTTTCGTTATTTTAATAAGGAAGTCGTTAGTTGAAGAAGAAAAAATGTCTCAATATTTAAATAGAGATGTTATGGTATTTTTCACCAATGTCTTATATTTACAGTTAATTGAACAGGAGGTCACAATGAGCTGGGTTGATTAATATACATTTTTGAACAGACGTGATACATAACGTCTATTGGAATTTTCGTTTAATTTTCTACAAATCATAAAGTGAAATTCAGCATTCTCACCAAGTGCGTTTTGGATTAGAACAGCTCAAAAATAACAACTCGGAAATCTTGTACTACACTGAAGTTACATCTTTAGGAGAGAAGGAACTGAGAAAAGATATGTTTCATCTGTCAGATGATAGTGGCAATTAAGAAGACATGAGAGTGTCCAAATGGAAACAAAGGCTAGAAAACCATTTTTGAAAAGTATCTGATGTGTTAAATGAAAGTTGAAAATCAACGACAAAACTACAAGCATGAACTTATTTCGTAGAATTCAAGAAACTACTACCGTTGTTTGATGTAAACAATATTATACAGGGTTGCCATTAAACATAGAAAGATGAAAATTATGTTTTGAGGTAAAAAAATTGTTTTCAGTGCGACTGCCATCTTGAATTTTTTTAATAATAGCAACATAGGTCAAGTGTACATCATTGGAAAGTAAATTTTTTTCCCCTTACTACCTAAACATGTATGGTGTTAAATTAGAAAAACAGAGAAAAAACTCTCTTAAATGGTTCATGTTTCATAAAATTAAGATTTATTTCTCATGTAATACAATAGTTGTAAGGAAATAAACCATATGTCCCGTGTTTTTGTCACTTATTAAACACATGTTAAATGGTTTTTGTTAATTTTCGACGTTCTATTAATTTAAAGGTATCTAAATTAAACTGCAATACAATAGCAGCCAAGTGTATGGTAAGGTTTTTCTAATTTTTCTGCATTATTTTCTAATGTATCACCATACATGTTTTAAGATGATGTATCACATGATCTATGGTGCCATTTAAAAAAATTCAATATGGCGGCTACACCTCAAAATATGTGAACCGAATTTCATTCTAATTTTCATGTCGTACATCTCAAACGGTTTGAACGTTAGAGCTTTGATTACATCTTTAATAGTGACCCTATTCATTTTATTTTTTCCATTATTGCTATCTTGAGAGCTATAAGAGGATGGTTTAATTAGCAAACAATTTCTATTTTACTTATTTTAAATGGGTACAAAATAGATATTTACATATAAGTCAGGAAAATGATACATTACTGGCGAGGAAATATTGAAATAGAAGGCCCTTTGTACTAAATTTTACCCGAAATCGTATTTTAACAAATTTCAATTTTCGTATAGAACTTTTGATTAATGCTAATCTGTCAATGATGACAGGAGTCATTATAGACATTTAGCAATGTGACAGGTGCGGCAGGTAAAGTGACAAGAGCGGCCGGTAAAGTGACAGACAGCAGGAAAAGTATACTGGCCTGCCTCCGTCATGGAAACTAACACTTTCCTGACATAAAGTAGGCATGAAAATGAAGGTTTCATGATGATTTTGGGTAAAAATATTAAGACTTTTTTAATGAGCCCAAAAAAATTTTTTCCCAACCAGTGGTTCACAAACTGTGGATACCAACAACGAATAACAAAACTCAAGGCGTCTTTCATCGTCTCCAAGATGGAAATGTTGGACTTTTTAAAGTTTAATTTATTGCTTTTTAAAATTGTATGTACTCTTCTTACACTACACTAGTACTTGGTAGCAGCCATTCTAATAGATGGGATTTGCTTCAAAATAGGCCAAAATCTCTATTTCAATATCATTAATTATGTTGTTTTTGTATTAGCACATAATCTAGCTGATACATTCTAACTGCGGCAAAGGTATTTTTTCTTGCTGAAATGTACCACTTCAACTTTTTCATCACGAGTAAAATTATGCACTTTTCTATGAAATTGAACTTATTCAGTAATCACACAATAATAATTCACTAATAGTACCTTGCAGTTGTAAACAACATAAATAGTGCTCTTGTTTCGATTACAGCACTAGTAAAATCTGAATCCATATTCTTGTTTCGTCCATGGCACACTTATTTTAGCTATAATAAAATAAATCTAAACAGGCATTTTTCTCATAAAAATTGTTATCTCACTGAATTCAGAATAAAATTCTTTATCAAATAAGGAAATAACAAAAATATAGTTCCATTTAAAGGAACAAAGTTGGTATCCACAGTTTGTAAACCACTGGTTGAAAAAATTTTTTTTCCTGCTCATTAAAATAGTTTTGCAAAATGCTAATTTAACCAACCTCTCAGCTCTTGTATAGTTCTCGAGATAGGAGTCAGTTCAGGCAGTCATGTCATGACTATGACTAATTTTCTTTTGTCACTAATTGGTTTTGAAGGACTAAATTTATGACAGTAATAAAATACCATGAAAATCATGCATACCATGCTATTTCCGATCAGTACTTTTGGGCTGTATTGGTACAGGTGATAGGTCATTTTATGTTAAGTCAATCTCAGATTTAAATTAAATACTAGGCTTGTACATTGTATAAAAGGTATAAAAAAGATTGGATAGTTTGCTCTCTTGAAAAATTTTTTTAATAGCATGTCATTTCTCTGTTTTTTAGTGGATTACATAAGGAACATTTTTCTTTGTAAGATGAACAGATATACTGAAATTAAAAAAAAAACCTCGAAATTGTTTTCTTTATCAAAACCTATTTTGTCTATGAATGAGTTAACAAATGCAATATAACCAATTAGATTTTCGTCGCAAGCCTTTGTGTGATCTCTTAACAAAACAGGTGCAGCATGTTTGTGTTAATTGTAGTAGAAATTGAACAGAATTATTATATTAATATTTTGATTATCTGTTTCACACCTACGAAATGTAGTGTTGACGATAAGTTCTCCTTCATACAGCTATAATAGGTACACCTCATTGCGCTAGAAATGGGTACATATATAAAACGAATCCCAGTAACTAGACAACTCTACAGTGTACCTGCTCCAAGATACGGAACTGTGTTATCCTTAATGGAAACTACTCTGTATTTATTTTCACAAAAATGTGACTGATCAATGGAGGTTTTTGAGAGTCATTTGTTTGTTCTTCATTGGGTATTTGAATACTTGTGCCTGTTTCTTCTAGTATAGAGAATGTGGCCATATGATCCGTGTCTGCCATGTTTTTTCCAAATTTGTCATTGAGCTGATTGGTTTATCCGAATTTGTAGATTTTACCATGGTCACAATATTATTCCCACAATTGTTTCTAGGAAGTTTACTCTTCACCTTGGTTTTCCGGTTAATTTTTACCAATCCAGTGTATTGGTTAAAACATGGCGCATCTACCGACTACCAATAGAAAGTAACATCTTTATAGAGTCACTTCTTCACATTATAGATACCACCATGCACAACACAATTAACTTTCAAACGCATAGTTTGCCAAATGTGTTATGGTGAAATAGATTGGAGCAGTTTTATACACAAAAAAAAATGAAACTCCTTGCGTAATTCCTCACATATTTGAACGAGTACGACTTAAAATTGTTAATAGATAAAATATCTTTTCTATTTTATTTATTAGACTGTAAACTACATAATATAAGAATTCACCGAGCACAAATATTGCTTATTCTACGGACCTAAGTGCATATAATATTAGTTCAAAACGATAGATGTAATAATTATACGGAATTTGTTAACGCACGGCCTGATCTTTGCTGGTTATTATTAGGTTTGTTATTAAATTGGCGAAACCATCACAATTTTTTGACTGATTTCACTTTGTCCGCGTCTTTAGTGTAAGTAAAATTCCAATCTCATTTCAAACGCAATTTTAACCACAGTAATTTTATATGTGCTCTGCATAAGTTCGTATGGCTGGTCGGATGAGTGAAAGATTATATGTAATGTTATTGTACAGATTAGGGCTGTATAATTTGTAAAAATGTGTTTGCGACCAATTGTGGAATGCGACCAATATCTTTTAGGATTGAATTTTTGTTTAAAGATCGTTTATTTGTATTTCAGAATGACATTGTGTAAGTGTAGTCGACATTTTTTTATGCAGATACCGCACCTAGAAGCATTTTTAACGAATTAAAATTTTTTATTCGCTGGATTGTTGACAAACCAAAAATTTGAGTCATATGTTTTATTTAACAAACACGAGTATGACTATTTATATATAAGGATCATCAGTATAAAATATGTATAGTAGTGTATTAAAATTGTACAATTTATACAGCCGTAGAAATTTTTCTATACAATGGTGCCACTTCACTACCGAAACTTTTTTAGAAGCACTGTTATGTTCACCTTAGATGCTTTATATATAAAAGTATATATAAGGTAATAAGATAATAGCAAATTGTGTTTTAGGTAGTTAAATTATAAATGACTTAACATTACGTTAAGTTTTGCATGACAGCTCAATTTCTAGTTATGATCTGATCATGTTGTATATTCATGGAACTTGTTTGCTTTCACTATTTTTATGCGGTTGATTATGATTACTTAAAAAAAGAGAAAATTATGCTGACGAACAATCACTACTTGTCCTTAAATAAACATTTCAGTTTTTGAAACAAAAAGTATTAATTGTCCAGTTTATTATTAATTTAATATGATATCGGAGGTGGGTTTGCTTCTTAAAAGGTACTTATCAGGGAATCATATTAAGTAAGAATTTAAGTAGTGCCTAATAATAAATAACGTGACTCAGGTGTGCTTGTGCATCCAAATATAATTTTTAATTGAAAGTAATTTGTAAAATTTCGTCCAACGAACGATAATAAATGTGAGTTTCCAAAATTTAGAAAGTTTCTATTTTTTTGTAAACTGGATAATGTTAATAAGTCGTTTTTATTATGTAAAGTGAAGCTCGAAAATTATAATAATTGATTGACGTTTCAATATTTATTAATATCTAGAAATTTGTGATGTGGTGTGATATTCATAAGATATGTATTGGTTAAGGGAGACGAGTGAACCGAAAGTAATTTAGTTCCATGAATGTCATGCTGAAAATTTGCATAACCATTGCTACTGTATGAAAAGATAGGGCCACTATAAATGCCCTTCCCTCATTAGGCATAAAGTAATGTAATATATCTAAATCACTATAAAACTTGTAGATATATGAAAAATATATTGTTAAATTTCTTTCGATATTTTCATTTCGCATACCTCAACCTATATATTATTATCCTCGGGGGGATTTCCTATCATGTCACAGTACAGCGACCTTAAGATCTATTGTAATATCTAGAATCCTTCTGGGTGCAGTGTCTTACAGCATTCTCAGGTGCATCTTCATTTACTCAAGGAAGTTGTCCATTGACCTGCTGTATATCTCGCAGTAACACAGTTAGTATATATAGGAGTTTTTTCTGTGCCCTCCTACCCGCTACAAAGTAGGTCTACTTCTAGGCCCATTTTGTGGAGTATGTTCGGCGCGGTTTTTAAAAAAATTTTAAAATTAAAATCATTTGTTTTATATTGGAGGAACCGCGCCGAACTACAGGATTGAAGACACAAGCCTTTTTTACCATTTCATTACCCTTAATATGGCAGTATGCCCAGGCACTAATATTTGAGAAGCTGTCGAGTGCACTGCAGCACTAATCCATACTTCACTTCATGTGTTCCTAGATCGTTTAATGCAGATGTTTTACTATAAAGATTTTCAGCAGAGACTGAGTAATAGTGTGTATCACTCTGCTCATCCCTTGTTGGTATACCAGATTCATGCAATCGTAGTTTATATGGCTTTTGTAATTGTGCCCTTTAGCTGTGTTTATTAGTTACATTTTACAAATTCCTGAAAATTAACTTTTTGGTGCGTAAGAAAACGCATGTTGTCCAAGGCAAGAAAATGCACTTCAGAATAGTGAATAGTGTAAAGTTCATCACGAAGTGTCTTTGCCTTATTTTGTAATAGCATCTTTTGGGGTGGTAACATTGTAAATGCAAAATGTTTAAAAATGATACTACTACATGAAATATAGAAGTGGCAATAGCACTCTCCTCTCAGTATTAAGCAGTAGACCAGTCCCAGTCTATTGAAAAGTCCCTGACCCTAACGCAATGTAGCAGAAGTAAATACTCACTTCAGAAAGTTACACTACAGAATTTGCAACTTATCTACTTCCACTACTAGATAGTAGCAAAGATCTGTAGTATGATCTTTGATAGTAGGTAACATATGGAAACTACAAACCACATTTGTAATGCAAATTAATAAGTTTTAAAATTGGTTTAAAAAACTTTATTTCAATACAAAGAATGAATTAAAACAATTTATGGAGTGGCATTTTTCTTTGCCCTGGCTTCTCGCAGACCCTTCCTGTATGCCCCCCGTTTCAACTGTTGCTTTGTGTTAAGATTGTGTTTTTTGGCAAATTTCAAATTCTTCAAGAATTTAGCACAAACCTACGATTTTGCTTGTTAATAAAGATGATTATTCCAAACTATAAACTTACGCCTAACGTCGACTCCTGTCTGAAACGTTTTGGTCGTTTGATCCCATTACGGTGATCCTTACGGTCTGTAGAACATTGTATTTTAAAAATATTTTACTAGAAATTTTAAGGCACTTACTTTGGTTATGATTTGTGTGATTCTTTGACTTGGCCATCCTTCAACCTATGAAAATGTTAGGTTAGTGTTATTTACTACCCAAGATTGTAATTATGGAATTAAATACAAAGGCGGAATACGAATACGATAAAAAATTAAGAGAATTTATGTTAAAGAAGACCAAAGATATTTATTTCAACGATTTTAATTTTATACTTACACAACACGTGGTACAATTTTAGATATTTATAACACTAGGGAATTTCGATGTTCGAATTTTTTCGGTTGGTCAAAATGAATAACTGACTAACCATAGAGTAAATTTGCTCTTAAAATCAGTACAGAGTATTCCATAAATAAAAGATTCAAATCATACAGTGCGTATCCATAGACATATTTCATACGTCTATGTGTATATCAATCAAATGGAATAAATATTTATTAACCTCATGTCACAGACGTATAAATTTCATATAAAGTATACGATCCTTGCAGTTTGAAGAATTTGTTTAATAATTGTGCACAGTACAAGAACACAGTACAAATCATACGTGGAATATATTTTGTAGCAGTTCCACGCTGAATTCATATACAAGAAATAGTGCAGCGTTCACAGGAAATGCACGTAAGGTTGTTACCCAGAATCCTTTCATAAATATCTTTAGTCCCTTTCTGCGGCTCAATTTAATCGCACAGTCAATCATCCCTGTATATTGGGGGTTCAGTGGATTGTCGGTTTGCAGTCTTGTTTTTATAACATCAAAGGGCACTAATAGGGACCAAGAGGCCGAACCTGGAGATAATAATTTTCTAAATGTAGGAGGAGGTATCAAAATATTATCATAGTACTTACGCACCTGCCATACCTCCTGCAGTAATTAATTCTGTTAAAGCATGCTCTCTATTGCGCGGTCTTAGTGATTCATAAACAACCAGGTAAATTGAACTAGAAGCGCCATCACTGCAATATACATTGACTTGTGTTTTTATTGTAATTGTAATGACTATTTTTTAATGGGCCAAGTTTACCCGCTTCATATCACACTTTGGACTGGACTCTGGCCGTCTTATTGCTGAGAATTACTTTATTAGACATACATATAGGTACTTATATGTTTAGAGAGCTATATTTTTCATACTTAACAACAAGATACATAACGGCGTCAGGGTTGCGTACAAAGAATAGAACGGAAGATTCACGACAAAAATGGGGGCTTTTAGGTACAGAGAGCGATTAGGTATATAAATATTTGGTGATCCTAATTTACGTGAACTAGCCGGTATGTATAATTAAAGTTATGTAATTACCGCCAAAACGTTGGGATAAATCCTCGGTAAAATCCTAATAGTCCTCCTCTACGGTATATACCTCTAATTGCTTGAATTGCAGTTTTATACTGCGGTCCGCCATTTTTCAATGATCGTGAATTTCCGGTTTGCAACAAGGTTTTAACAAATTCAATTGGAGAGGTCACAATAACTTGTACCGTTCCGGCAAGCAACCCTTTGGAGTAGATCAAAAATATACATTTATCAAAACCCTTTCGCGGTTAATATAATAAGACAGTAAATGTCTACCTGCAAGAGCTACGTTCATCCTCCATTTGGTATCATTGAAATCTACTCGACCAGAACCGTTTTTTTGTACCACTTTCAGACTTTCGCCATACGCAAAGAAAAATACCGCATTTGCCGGCCCAACAGTGAAATACTGCACAAAAAATCCTTTATAACATCCTCTTATTCCTTCGTGCTGGTAGATTTCTTTTATAGTAGTCGATAACGAATGTCCGGTTGATTGCTGGCGAGTTTTTAATGTGTCCATGGGATGACCTATTATTAATCCAGCTATCCCTATAGAATAAAAGTCCGAGTAAGATAAAAGGATTGTGACTTGTGTGAGCCCAAAATGTGGATAGACTCGAATGCAAGGTTTAATAAAATAAATAACCGTTAGACGAATTTGAATTTTAGTATCAAATAAAAAGCCCTGTAATTTTATTGTTGAAATCAAGGATTTAATAGTTAATTGTTGAGAGTCTTCATGACTGAAATTTCGTGAGCGTACGTGGTAACGTGGTTAATGAGGAAAAAAATAAAATGTAAGACGATCGTCGCCATGACTACCAAAGCATACTTTTGATGTTGGGCAACGCCACCAGGTACATGTTACGCCAATGGTGTGTAACACCTGTGTGCTCCAACTCTGCGCGTGCGCGTTACCCAGATATTATGCAGACAAAGGATATTTTTGCGGTTATGATAAATATTTTTATAAACAATGTGCGTCAATAAAATTTTTCATCGTGATCGTAAGACCTTACAATTACATTAGAGACTTTTTTACAAAATGTAACATTAGGTTGACTTACCTCCCAACCATCCTGCAATGAAGTTAATCCAGTCTATCATAAATATTCGACTTGTAATTTAAGAGATCTTGGAATAGTTTGCCAAAATTAAAACATCTTCTTTTTAGTTCATTTTGTACTGGAATTTTTGTGACATTTAATGACAGACAATGCTGTCAAGAAAGAATAAAGAATTAAGAACGATAAAAGAAGGAGTCGTCGGCAAGTATGTTAAAAAAGATACACCGCCTGAAATGCCGAGTAATACCAAGTGGTAATTGGCCGAGTTTTATATTAACAATTTCAGTTATTAATGTATGGACGACGGAACCAAAGCGTAAAGTATCTAACCAAAGCAGAACATCACTATCCTCGAATGTACCCTCAATTTCCAATAATGCAATTTCCCAACCCAGTACGACCATACAAAAATTTGGCAATCAGAAAACGATGATTAGTGATGTAGGTTTAGGTGCGCATGAAGGTAAATACACACCCAGTTCGTCCGTACCAGATCTAGCAACAAGGTGATTTAAGGAAGTGGTAGGAGAAAAGTGCTATCTTTACATGTTTTAGGTTTGCTAATCTTTCAGTAGGAATTGCTAATGAAAGTAATTCTTCTGTGCCAAGTCAACCTGTTTCAACAAATGTGATTTACAGTGCCTCAGATTCTCAACACACATACGCAAATCAATTTCTAAACTCGTCATATAATTTCGATCAATCTGCGGTAGGTATGTTTAAAATTAGGAAAAAATTATTTGTTGTTCCCAAATTATTATTTGGGTTTAGTTGTAGATTAGGTATCGACTACTAAATTATATAAAAATATTTAAGTGAGGTTAAGAAGTTTCCATTGTACAGGGTGGTTCAAATTAGTGGCTCCACATTGGTATCTCCGTAACAGTGAGAGATACAGGGTCGATTATTCAAATGGGGGCACAAAGTTGACCCTTTTTGTCAGTAAAAAACGCATTTGAAATTTTTCAAAAATCCTTCAAAACAACTGAAATGTCACCAAAAAACTGAAAAAGTCATTCAAATTTGGTTTTCATTTTCTAGCTTAAACAGTCCTTTTTTTCGATGAATCTGAATCTGTTATCAGAATTTTTATTATGGACACCATATTGGATTTTTTCGGAATGAGATAAAAGATAAAAAAATCACTTTCGGCTCTGCCGATCAGGTGTAAATAGTTTTCTTTAACCGCATTAACATACAAAAGTGCCTGCCGTTTTGTTCAATATGGCGAAATTGGCCGAGATATTTATGAGTTACATCAACCCTTAAAGTTTGGTCAAAATCGGTTCATAATTACAAAAGTCAGAGTGTTTCTTGTAAGTGATATATACCGGGTGAATATTTCAAAACGGAACATAAGCAATTAACTTGGGAAAAACGTTTTTTGCAGATCATTGCTCTCCTTATTAATTTAGAGGGATCATAATGACACCAATCAAAAGATGATTTTTTCTCATCTAATGATGTACAAATTAGTTCATTTTCAGTTGTATCTCTCATCAGTTGCATATATACTACGTGTATATACAATGGTATAACCCAATAAAGCAGCAAAGGCCTGTCAGAGGACTAGAAAAACTACTTATGTTGGTACCAAATTTTCTCTTCTCAGTCGTCCCTGCAGTGCCCAATTGTCCGGTTCCATGGTGTATTGTGTCTACCTTGAGAACCTTAAGGAGTTCATTATAGTGTTTTTAGTATGTATTCTTTAATTCTCTACATACTTGACGTTGCCCTTTTGGACACAGTTCAGATAGTAGCTTACGAAATGTAAGAACAGGAACTATCCAACATAGTTTGATTCACTTTACTCTTACTTTGAATATTGTATTTACTTAGCCCTTCTTTTGTAGAATAATGCGAACTATGTAGAAATAGATCAAATTTACCCGTTGCCTTCATCAGACACTTCAAACTCGGAAACAAATTATAATCACAGCAGTTCACCCATTTATCAAAATACAATTGAAACAGCAAACGTCCGAAGGGGAATCGATACCTCACCAATTTACAGTAATGTAAATGCAGAAAGGTATCGACCACAATCCCATGGGATGACGTACAGTGAGTCTGTCGCGATACGACAGAGTATTGAGGCATCTGATACTGGTCAAGGTGAGATTTACAAATTGTATTGTTAAAGACACTTTTTGTTTAGGACAATCGGAAGAATTACCTTTACCTTTAGGATGGTCTGTTGATTATACGTTACGAGGCCGAAAGTATTATATAGACCACAATACGAAAACAACACACTGGTCGCATCCTCTAGAACAAGAGGGTTTGCCGACTGGCTGGCAATGTATTCACTCTCCTCACTATGGGGTTTACTACGTTAAGTGAGTATGATTGAGAAAGAGCACAACACAATGACCACTTTTCTTTTTTACTTTGTGACCAAGTCGACAAAAATATGCAAATGAAATTTCCATTTGTTTCTTGAATTTGGTTTCTCCATCTTGCTCTTGATAAGAACCTTTGTCTCATGGATAAGGTAAATAAAACAACATTTATTTATTAACAAGAAGGTTATTTTCTTAAATACCTGGCTGCAAGAAAATACACGTTAGTAAAGGAGTAGAGTGAGGCATACTCAAAGATGACTGGAAATGAACATTTAATACTTCTCCATTCATTCATACCATTGAAAGTAGTACTAGAATTGCGCTATTGCTATAAGAATTAAAGGATACTGTGTATAAAAAAAAATTGGTGATAGAGAGGGACAAACCAACAATTTTTTTCCTATATTTGGAATTTCCATGTTTTAACCAAATACACAGGATTGCTAGAAATCTACCAATTCGATTAAACCAATCAATGATAAATTTGAAAAAAAAATGACAGACTAGAACACTCTTTTTATACGGTCCCTGTGAACAAATTTATAGTGACTGTATAAAGGCAGTGTCGTCATAATGCTACATATCGGTCATGTTTTTTCCAATTTATCAGTGAGCTGATTGGTATTTGGCCAAAACATGGTGGATATCCTAACTACCAATAGAAAATAACACAACCGTATGACCACACTCATTCTATAGGTCACTGTAAACATATGTAAAGTCACTAAATATAGAAAGTACCGCAATCCATTAGGCTCGTGTGTTAGAGAGAGAACGCATGATTTTTGCCCAAAAATGGCGGAAATTACCAGATTCTAGTAACTTTAATGTTACGGATTGTTCCACCTGTTTGGAGATATCTGTATATATTTTTATAAAACATGACAGTACTATGAAGTTAGGTTATAAAATATGACAGCTATTCAGATTTTATTTGTCAATTTTTTTTAAGTTGGCAGCAAATTTGCCCAAAAATGGCGGATGATTGCGGTACTTTCTATATCTAGTGACTTTAAACATATGTACTCTACAACGCCCCCTAGCTCAAAATTCAGTGAACTAGCCTACTATATGCATATGTGGTCATTGTGGATTTAGAGATGTTCACGAATAATGTGAAATGTAATTATGTTGCAGTCACATTACTAGACAAGTTCAGTATGAACATCCTTGTCTGGTGCCATGTTATAATTATCAGCCCGAAATTCGATACCTGAACCCTCCACGCCACATACACTATCAACCGCATAGTGTCCTTGTACCTGCTAGCCCGTATTTATTAGAGGAAATACCCCATTGGCTTACAGTGTATTTCAAAGGTAAGAAAGTGAGACAGTATTTTAGTACAAGATCCGACATAAGGTCAACCTTCACTCATCTGTTTATCAAGTGAAATACATTTTTTAGCAATCTTAATATGTAAACAAACACCGAGACAAACACATTGCGAATGGGTTGCCTAAAAAAAATTAAGTCAAGGTTACCATTATTTTTCATTAATGTGGTTAATATTTGTCTGCTTCTATCACATGGTGAGAGCCTACACCACGAGCAGCTGGTACACTGCGCCATTCTCTTTCACACGGAACAATATACATGTTTCTTTCTTGTGCGCTACTTACAATTGTGACAACTGTTCTGTGTGAAAGAGACGAACGCGGTGTACGTATTCCTGCACACTCTCTACATGTGATAGAAACAGACAGACATATTAATTACATTAATTTGTAATTAAGGGTAGTCTTGACTTAATTTTTTTAGGCAACTCATTTGCAATGTGTTTACATATCAAGATTGTTAAAAAACGTACCTACTTCACTGAGTAAACAGATGGGCGAAGTTTGAAGGATGTGGGATCTTCACTATTTCAAGCAAAACAAAACTTGCGACTTTATCCAGTTGGTCATATGCACTTCTTTGCATTTGAAAGAAAAATATTTTTAGCGACTGCTGATTTAGACTACAAATTGCGCTGGGATATGTTTCGTGTAAACGAATTGGACTGCTACAATGCAATGCTTACTAGACTATACAAGCAAGAGCTGGAAAAAATCGTAATGCGTTACGAATCTTATAGGTATGTGTAAATAAGCAAATACTGACTGTTAATACATGTTCATTGTAGAGCTGCTTTACTAGTTGAAATGGAGAAGTTCCGCGAAAATCAAAGTAACACTAGAGCTGTGACTGGGAAATAATAACGTTCCTATTATTGTTGAAATATTTATTTTTACCTTATAGATTAATTATTTGCACTCTACGCTGAAGTACCAAATCATAAAATGTTTGACTATTTATGCCCAAAATCCTCTACTTTTCCGCTTCATCTTCTGCTGGGAATTCATTGTGAATTTCATATCTTGAAAGATTTGATCCAGAGATCTTGTATACTGTTGCATCTTTTATTTTTAAGGTTTGTGTCCATTGTCGTGCTGTAAATACGTTGAAATATAAATGCTTTATTTTTTGAAATGGAAGTTAATTACTACACAACTTCTACACAAACGGCTTTATGTAACAGATCAAAATTTTTCATGGAGATAGTACTTTCAATAACACACCATCGGCGTGAATTCTTTTACCAGATTGTGTAAATTAATTAAGCAATTACCTGGTGATGATTCCAATGTCGCCGGAGATTTAAAACGTTTCGCCCAATCCTGGTTTCCAGTATAACAACTGTAAGCTACAAATCCGAACGCATTCCATGCTATTATCGCGTACAAGTAAGACAGTCGACGCTTCCATAAATCAGCAGTCCCTTCCGGAATTGGTTTTGTGTGTCTTTTAATTAATCTTGTTAACCAGTGAAATTGGAACAATGCCATTTTTTCTTTTATACAGATAAAAATATAAACATTTTTGAAGGATCACATGGTTATGTCACAAAAGATTGTGGTGCTACTCACTCACCATGGGACATGGAGGGAAGTGTCTCTGCTAACGGTACAAATCTACTACACTCGGTGTTATACAGTGCGATATTAAATAAATGCCATTTATTATCTGCGTAATTGAGGTTACAAATATATTGAGTTAAATGCAGAGTAGCCCAACGGGATTATAAAAAAAAACCGTTCTGTTATTTACGCTAATGATGTTTTATTTTCTTACGAAATTTAAAATACTGACCATATATATCAAACTGCTGAAACCCAGATAGTAACAGTGCATGAGTACAGAAACAAATCAGGAATAGGTGGTAGAAGGAAGAATGTGAATCAATTAGAGAAGGAGACATAGCTTAAACACAAAAGAGAAAATAGTAAGCATATCATCAATAGAATGATAAGATAAGATAAGTAATAAAAAATGGAATATCGTCTGGTAATGGCAACATTAACATGAAGTTGTTCAAATATGGTTGAGAAAACCTGTAAGTTATTAGTGTTCTGACAGATTTTATATGTGTATCTAGATACAGATACATTTGAAAAATTGTATCTATAGAGCGTAAGACTGAGCTTGTTTTGTAAACCTATAGCAGTTTAAAGGAAAACTAAATGGTGTATTTAGGATTTTGAAACAAATAGTTTTTTATATAAAGACAAAATATTTGATTATAATCGGTTAGTGGGAGTGATTTGAGTTAAATATATTTTTAGAACGATTTTTGCGTTTAGGGTTGTTATCGTTCTAGGGGTCCCCCAATCTGCACTGCAAGCTTGACTTACTTTATACGTAATAATGGCTAATTGGTAATTGACATTTGAATTACGTTCTGAATTGTAGAATTTGCAAGAATTTTCAAAAGACAAAATGTAAATTCTCACTTTTATTCAGAGCTGACCCTAATTTCTACCAACTTAATCTTAATATTAAACAAATTGTATAAAATATTTTAAATCACTAATATCAAAAATGAATCAAAAACAGTGCGAGTTGAAAAGTGTGCTATTGCTGAAGAAAAGGAAAGTAGAAAAAGACATGCAGTTGACAGAGGTGAAATAAACGCGTAAGGTAAAAAAAGTTTCAATGAAACCTAAAAAATATGTTTTTGCAAAAGGATAATGTACTTTAATTTTGTGTATCATTTTTTTCTATGTATAATTAATAATAATTTACTACAGGTACTTTGTTTTCGATTAGTATACAACATTTTTTGTTAAAAGTGAATAACGTAGAATTACACAGAAGTCTTTGGAAATGAAGCTATTCAAATGTGAGGAATAATGTTAACTTTTTGACTATTTCTTAAAGTATAAACATTTTTGGCACCATCCTGTATTAAACACACTTTGGCAACATCGCGTTGGTTTAATTGACGATGACTTCTCCCTCCTAGTAAAAAAACAAACATGGCGAATTATTAAAATTACGTTAATGTCAAAATTCTAGTGCAAATGATAATTTTCTGATTTTTGGTTTAGTTTTTAAAATTTTTGTTCCGCGTTTACCCGAACCAAATTTTGTTCGTTAATAATCCTCACGTAAAATCATTGTTTATCAAATATGTGTTCCTGCGGTTATTCCTAACCTGTTTTAATTTTTTATGAAGATTTCTAAAAATTGATTAAATATTTAAGCAGTAGATGAAAAATCACAGGAGTTAGTATGGAAGATTCGAGTAGTACTAACCAGCCAAACAATTCTGAATTGACAAATTTCTCGGATGAAGTTGATCCCAAAACAGATGATGATTCGAAGAAGGAATCCGCTTCTTCAATGAAAAAGTGAGTTATTTTAGTATTTTGTTTTCGCATCTCCGGATAAACATGATCTTAAACTGCATTTGGTATTATTTGTGTTTTATTTTCAGATTTATTGAGGATTGTGATCTTTTGGAACCTTTTGCTTGGCGAAAAGATAACCCTGCACTTGCCTCTATCCCTGACGATTTTACCTCACTAACCATAACCCATGCTGTATCTCCCAAAAGGTTTTTGTACACTTGCTTTTTTAACCCTGAAAATCCATGACCCAATTGAAACTTTCACATAAATTGCTCGTAAAATTTATCTAATCATCATGGCATGGAGAGAAAGTTACAATTGGTTACTTTTTTTGTGCTTGCACCCACATTTTATTTAATATGCATACAAGTTGTTCAGGTTGTAAATTGCCAACTAACCTGCTTGAACCTCGGCTTGAACAGAAAAACTTTAGTTTATATTAATTACGAAGTACCAAATAAAATGTGCAGTCTCTTTACACAGTGTTTGTGCAGAAATACTCGCGATTGTTATCTTTTTAATTGTTGAAGAAATTTTCTGTATTTGTTAATACATTGCATATTGACGACTTGATAGAATAGGTACCATACAAAACCAGTAAATTGTTCATACATTATTTCAAATGTTTTGAAAAATCAAAGTAACCATAATTTTATAGAAATCTCGAGAGAAATCTATACTTAACGGAATGTGAGAGGTACCAAACAAGGGTTAAGTACTTCCTGAATGCCCTGTGGAATACTGATTAGTTTCATAACAGTATTCTTATGTTAATTTACAATTATATAAAGAAGTCCTGTTTGGCACATTACCTTTTTAGGGGTTGGTGTAAAATTTTGTTTGATATTAATTGGCAATTGCATTAGTTATAAAAAAAAAATGTCAGCCTCACCAATAGCACTGATCAACGTATTATATCGCATATTGTAAACATCAGATTAATGTGCACATGTGCAGTGCATATCAACTGTCTTATTTATCGAAATATTTTTTTGAAATTTTTATCACAGTTGCTTCTGTTTAAAGCAAACATATCTCATATTGTAAACATTAGATGTGCGCATGCGCCGTTTATACGCACTCTGCACAGTGTCAACTTTCTTATTAATGAAGATATTTCTTTGAAATATTACCCACAGATACCTCTAGTAAGGAGAAACATAGCGCACATAGCTATGCTATGGCCTTTTGGAAAGCACTGATCAATGCCTGGAAAATGCGTTGAAGTTACTCGCCTTACTTTTTTATTTGTTATATTAATTGGCAGTAACTTAAGCACACTTGCGTCTATGTAATGTCTCACAAAATGAAGCACCGTTTATGGCGCTGTACGGTGTACCTTGAAAGAAATTGTAGGAACTAGTTTGTTGATTTTAAAGGAAGTTAATTACACTTTGAATTTACAAATATGGACAAAGAAAACCTACTATTACTAATTTATTTTATTTATTGCAATTTGTAATTAAGTATATATCTAAGTAGGGTTGCCACATGGCCGGGATTTTCCGAGTTTGTCCCGGAATTAGCCTCGGAATTAGCTGCACTGCCCCGGATTCCGGTTTTTCATATATAAATCTAGGAAAAAATATCACAACGTCTTGAATAAAAATTTACACTTGCCCAAACCCAAATAGTTGCGACACTGCACAAACCAAAAGAAATAGCCACAAACCTGGATCGTGACGTTATAGGGAACCAATTCAAGCAATCGCGCCACTCTCACCAGTTTTTTTTGAATATGTTGGTTTTTGTTCCAAAAAACATGCTTTTGTTAAATTTGATTGATCTGTTTTTTTTTATTAAAATATTTTTACTGTTACGTTATTGTGTGCGTTAATAAAATATAATGGGATTACATTTAAAAAAATTAAATATAATATCAATTAAAAAAACTAGCAACAAAAAACAACAATTTTTTGCCAAAATTAGAAAATTACAAAGGAGGTATCTATCCAATAAATTTTTGAACATGGTATATTTTTACCCGATCGGGATGGTATCCCGGAATTGAACGCGATCAATGTGGCAACCCTATATATAAGACTCGTCTCGTCGCGGGGGCCCCTTAACCCGCGGGGCCCCTGGACCCATCGTGCGTGAAGATACCACTGGCTGTTTGTGACAGTAAAACGTGCATAAATTCAAAATTCAAATTTTGCATACGCACGCCTCTAGTGGTTTCAAGTAAAACTTCTGAAAATGGGGTATGGTTATAGTGCGGGGGTGTGGTATAGTTATTCGTCATAAATCATAGATAAAACCACCTTTTACTTATGATTACCCGTTGAATGTATTAATTGCAACCCAATATAATTTTATGAAGAAAAGGAAATAAACTAAACCAATTTAGACAACGAGCGACAAGGTTAACGAGCATTGACCAAAAATTAATCACTTAGTCGCTTGACTACTGTCTACCTATTACTGAAAAAAGAATTGGAAAATTCGAAATCGTTCGGGAGTTATCATGTAGGTACACAGACGGACTGACAGACGGACAGAAATCACGAATTCGCAGGAGCTCTTTTAATAATGAAGAACTCCCTATATTTTTTATTGCCATAATGACCTTTAATGGAACGTAAACGTGTTATACAGTATATTAAAATGAGTGGAAACAGAAGAATTAAATGGAGTTGATATTCTAATCTATAAAAATAAATGTTAAATGATAACTGTAGCATGCACCTGGCGTGGTATTACAGTAAGCCAGTGTAATATAGATATTACCCTGTTGAAGTTAAACACATTTCATATGGCTAACTGTACTGGGTTCAGCGACATGTACTGAAGGGAAGATTCAATTACAATTGGTAGCACCGAATGTTGTATCATGGGCGCACACCACTTTACAAATATACCGACTCGTGAGACATCTAGCAATCACAAATATGAACTAACCAAAATTCAAACGCTTTGTTTTACTATTGTATTATATTATGCTAATACGTATAATGAAAATCATTTTACTTATTCCCGAAACTATTACCTAAATATCCTTTAAATGCGTAAATTAGTTCATTTCATAGACTCGACGATTTTAGTGCCAAATTTCCTTTCAAATGGACAAATGCGCTTTAAACAATTGTGAGCCAGGCGAGAGAGTCGAGGTCGCCTTTGCCTGCCGAGTTTTACGCATGAGATGATTTTACTCCCGTCAAAAACAAGTCACGTTAACAAAGAAGAGGGTAATATTAAAGGTCCTTGAGAATGAGGTGACGTCAAGTTCTCCGCAGCATGTTTTGCATTGTGAGATTATAGCTATCGAGTTATCTTGCAACTCCCACCCCCGCATAAATACGCTCCTCCACCCCCACCCCCAGTGGCGAATTTTTAACCGCGCCCGCGCACCTTGACTGCAATGCTGCCAGCCATTTTTGATTTACAGATTTCTCTGTATCGATGCGACCATTTTCACTATTTTAAACTGTATTTTTTTTTCTCGCCAATGTAATAAAGGCATTATTATTATTATTATTAAATCGCCTAAAGAAGCTCTCATAAAAATTTCATCCAATCAGTGCATTTTTAATGAAATTAAAAAACAAAATCGAGTTAACGGTTGAGTTTACTATTTAAGGTTCAGTTCAGCTTTTTCGCTCCTCTCAATTAAAAAAGTTATTGTTACAATCAGTTTGCAATGTTTTCATTTGTATTATAGGGATAGTACATTGGAAAAAGAAGACTTATGGCTATCAGGTGGTCCAGCTGGTTCGCGCAATTCCATACTGATATTTAGAAGTTCGGCGCTTGCCAATGCCTCAGATAATGTCGTTCGTTCCAAACCAGGTTATCAATTGCATACATCTTACAAAGTGTCACAAGCCGAAACAAAACTTCTATCCAAACTTTTGGAATGTCATGGCATGGTCGAGGCCGGGAACAACTCCACCGATTTTAATCTACTTTGGACCGGCTCGCATCCAAAACCGGGTATGTATTCAATTATAGCTTTGATGTGGAACTACATCGTGAAATTTGAAGGTACTCTCAGATCGTTGGCACCTCACCAGCGTGTCAATCACTTCCCGCGCTCCTACGAGTTAACCCGTAAAGATCGCCTGTATAAGAACATCGAACGAATGCAACATGGCAAAGGTCTCAGGAATTTCGATTTTATCCCGCAGACTTTTGTGATGCCCGGGGAGTATCGCGAGCTTTGCAGTACACACTATCGGCTGAAGGGACCGTGGATAGTCAAACCAGTTGCATCTAGTAGAGGACGAGGTAGAACGATCACGATGAGCCAAAAACAATTAGTCATTGTCTTACAGGAATATTCATTGTTGAAAATCCAAACCAAGTACCTTTAGATGAACCTGTAGTAGTTGCCAAATATATTAGTAAACCATTGCTAGTCGAAGGACACAAGTGTGATCTTAGGCTTTACGTGCTTGTCTCTTCTTTTGATCCTTTAATAGTCTATATTTACGAAGAAGGATTAGTAAGACTCGCTACGGTTAGATACGATGCTAGTCATAAACAGTTATGGAATCCTTGTATGCATCTGTGCAACTACAGTATCAACAAGTACCATAGCGATTACGTTAAGTGAGTATGCTAGTTGCTTAAATAGACATCTAATAATGCAATTTTGTAGGTCAGACGATCCAAGTGCAGAAAATGTAGGTCACAAATGGACCCTAAGTGCTTTATTACGCCATTTAAAGGCGCAAGGAAAAGACACCGCTTTACTTATGGCGCAAATTGAGGATGTTGTTGTTAAAGCTATACTAGCAACGGCAAGTTCAATAGTGCCAGCTTGTCAAATGTTTGTGCCTCATACTAATAATTGTTTTGGTATGTCTTTTTCATCCCTCTTTTTTTTTATAACCCTATAGTCACGAACTTTTAAATTAAGATGGACTGCTAATGCTGAATTGACAAATGACACCTACATGGGGGCAGCCATGACGTGCACTCACTTGGCGCGAAATTCAAATCAACTAATAAACAAGCATTAAGCTCATGTTTTCTAAATAAATTACTGCGACACATGTCATTCCGAAGCTGCAATAGTCTCAAATCTTGAGCACTAGGAAAATTCCCCTAGAAAATAACTAAAACGTGCACATCATAACGGCGCCCATGCTAGGGCCATTTCTGCCTCTATGCAACTGTTTGATCATCAGTCCATCTTAATTTATAAGTTCGTGCCTATAGTGTATCCCAGGATTCCGGATACAAGTGGCGGAAGAGACATTTTTTGAGTTTCAATGTGAGATTGACTCTCACTAGGTGTGAATTAATCTTTGTGTAGGGTCTCTTTCTGAACAACTTATAGGTAATAGTAACATTTTGGCATCATGAGTAAAGAAAGTAATTCATTAGTCCATCTTCCCTCTTGTAACGTCAATCCTGAGACACACTGTATGTAAGAAACTAAAAATTGTATGTTTCCTCCAACGTCACGTTCAGGTAAGTAGGTACTGATTGTTTTAATTTAGCAAAGTAAACATAAACTCCATAAGCACTCAAAAATCTGAAATTGTGGGATGCTTATCCAGTTCCCTTCATGAGCTATTATTTTTTTTATGACGCTAGAAGTTTAGCTCATTTTTAAAATATATTTGAAATACAATTCGATGGAAATAGAGCAAAACCAGAAAATAATTTTAGTACAAGTAATTTTTGGACACAGTCCACTTGGTGGTCTCAATTGAAAGAGGAATTTGCTAGTGTAATTACTGAAAATGCTTAAGCGATATAGAGGTCAAAAAGCACAAAATTCTCATACAAAAGCAAAACTGAATTTAAAGTACAATAGGTGCTTGGTAATCTGGCGCTCAACAGTCCGGTACACCCAGTAGTCCGGCCACTCAGCTGACTCACGATGATACTCCACTACTCGCTAGGGTGGAGGGAATATATAGGGATTTTATCGTTTTTGCAAAATTTAAGGTAAATCGACTTATACCTTCCAAGTGCCATAGCGACCTTGAAATTAATAAAAATTACACAAAACTTAATGTTTATTTCATTTTTGTTTGGTACAAAATGTGGCGTAACTTGACCCAAACTTCAAATAGATTACTTGAGATGCCACAAAGGTACAAAATTTCGAAGAATTATTGTCCAAGTCGCACACATTTTTCAGTTTGCTAATTTATTGAAGGGCATGAAGGATCTTCCTTACCGGAAATTGATTTAAAGGAATTAAGCAATGACGAGGAAGTAAGCAATGACGAGAAATATTTGTATAAGATAGTTCTTGCGGTTATGTCAGATGTATGTAGCCAAGATCTGGCAAATCTTCAACTTGGACCAATATCATACTCTCACTGGCTAATACTGCGAGCCGAATACTTCGTTTATATGTCTCCTCGAGTAAATGCTCACAAAGTTTACCTTTACCTATGTACTAAAAGTCTACGCAGCGGTCTGATTTAACATTAAGGTTATAACAGTTGCTTATGGGAAGGTTCAAAATATTTGTGGCAGCTCATCTCTTTGACTAGATACATATCTTCCGAAACATTTGAAGGATGTTCTTGACCAGTAATTCAAAGGAATGTTTATCTCTTGCACCCTGAGAATTTGTTCTTGGCCATGAGTTCAAGCATTAGGAACCTTGCCTTTACTCGAATAATAAGTACGGTAGGGAAGGAACGTAAAATAAAACACTGAAATTGTGAAACGTTTGTTTAATAATGATTGTTATTATTATGAAGATTGTGAAAGCCCGGATATTTAGTTGATGTACGTTAAGAGCGCGCTGCCGGAGTGGTGGGGATCAGTGTAGAAAACACGCTTAAAACATGCCTTTAGATTTTCGTACAATTTTTAAAAACCGTTTGTGGTATCAGCCCAATTTTTTTTTTAATATTAATCAGCAAGGACCAGCGCAGGAGGTAACGAATTTTCATCGATCTACATTCGCTATAAATAGGTTAATTACATTTTTGAAAATGGGCAATTTTAATTTTTTATGAAATCAAATCTCCATGCATTTTCGTCATTGCCTTCTTAGGGTCATTACAAAGATAACACATAAGTTTCAAGTGATTTTATGGTCAATTAAAGGAAATTTGTACGAAACTTCTTCATTATAAAGTGACCCTAGTTGTGTTTCCCACCATATTTAGATCGAAAGCGAAACGTAAGTGCAGTGGTTCGCCTGTAGATGGCGGAGAAACATGGCGGGTTCTCATTTGAATTTAAATACATACCACGGTATCGACATCGTTTTCGTTTTTTCAGAACCGTTAATTGAGTAGTAGGAAGGGACGAACGGAGCAGTTTCTTAAAGGGGGAATGTTAAACATTTTCCAACGCTACAACACGCAAAATTCAAGACTGAGACTGAGTCACAATGGCTTTACTACCTATGATCACAGATTTTATTCTGTGCTATGATGTAGGAAGTCGGCATTGCTGCTTAATCCTTCATTCATTTCTCAACGAAATCTAATAGTTCGCAATGAGAGCAATTAAATATGATATGACATCTCACTGCACGCGATATATGAAAATAAACTTCTTATGTTCCACAATTTGCTTAGTAATTTAGTATGGTATTTCCCAGTCCCAAGTCGGTTCCATATTATGCCAAATACGATATGTGAGGAGGTGCCCCTGTCAGTAGGGATGGTGGGCGTCCCGAAAAAGCAAACGCCACATTTCTTTCTAAAGTATTTTAATTAGCGAATCGGTAGACCAATTTTTTTGTGTCTGAAATGACATCAACTTTTTGAAACAAAAAGTTCATCATTGTAGAAATAAGTTCAATTGAATAATTTTTTATGCATCTTGCGTGAGTGGTAGACTTTGTGTTTACTCGTACTATCAAAATGGCAGAATATCAACTTTATAGAAATGAGTGCATAAAAAATGTCGCTGCCTCCTGGACTAAAAGTAGACAGTCAAAGAAATCGCATCACAATCAACACCCACACAAGGTCGGAGCTTGTGAATACACCAACACAATACACAGTAGCCCTTTGTTCTAAAAATAACTGTGCTTTAGGATTTCGCAGGTTTATGGTACACATAGCTTAGCAAATTGTTTCTTGGCGTGCAATTTTTATTTCGTGCTTTTTTCCTTTAAAAATGGTTCATTTTAGAAGTAGGGATGTAATTATTATTTTGAAAAACGCTTATACTTCCTCTTGTTATAGTGCGCTCAATTATAGTTTATAGCACTTTTAAAGGTGGTCTAACGATTTCTTCATATTTTTTGGCATATTTTGCGTTTAGGTTGTATACATTTTTTTCACCTAAATCATAAAAACACAAATTCAGAATCCCGATGTTAAAGTTCTGTCTGCGTGATGTCATGCACCAACTAGCATAATCTTGTTTTCTTTATTTATATCCTGACTACAAATGTACGTGGTTGTTGTAAATATAGCGAAAGTCTGCGAAAGTTTCCGAAGGGCGCGGCGAATTTTCGAGATAAAAACAAGATACTTAACAGTGCTTTCAGACAACATTAGCGCCATCTGCCGTTATCCGTCTGATTTTGAAATGGTAACAATATAAACTAAAGGCAATAAGCTTCCCCCACCACTCTGGCAGCGCGCTCTTAATGTAAGCAAAGCCAAAAGGTGCCGCACTCTCGCAGAAGGGCTACTGCCAAGAATAAAAAGAGAGAATGACTGAGGAAAGTCGTGACATTTGATTAATGAAGCCAAAAAAAAGCTAGAAAATAATTTGTGGAATTATCAAGTTTAAGCAGTGATAAAAAAAATAGTAAATGCATACACACAAAGTTGGGTTGCAGTCAATAATTAAAAACAAGTTTAGGGAACAATGGGTGAGGTAAGCAGGTAACAAAAATTCTAAGAAAGGGCGAAGTGTACAAGATGTGACTCAATTTTGGTGCAATAAAATCCCTGTGGAAAACTGCACGGAAAGTTACATGACCTTGGAGAATTTAAAGCTACGGAACATGTGGAATTAATGAATCGCAACTCATATCGCACATAAATTCTAAACCGATGAGTTTTTTGCGTTAGCAGAGTCTCGCCCCTGAGATAGGTAACTCGCCCCTTGCCCAGGGTATCCGAGTATTTTTTCCAATCTTTACTGCTTTGCTCGCTATCAATGTTTAGGGAAATTTTGCAAAAGATTATTAAGTTTTCTAAATATTGAATTACGAATTTCTTCATTTTTTTGCATATGAACCATATACATATTTTATGTTGTCGTACAGCAAATTGATTGCTCTTTTCAAAGATCTTAAAAAAACCATAGGCAACAAAAGTCGCATTGATTTCCGGTAAAACCGGAAGTGACCCTGGAGAGATCATAATCTCACATATAAAATTGTATTTCAGAAATTTTGTATCTCTTCAAATAAAAGAGACATTGAAGTGACCCTCTTATCTCGAACGCACTGTATACTGTGACATTAATTTAATTACGTGATTTAATTACGTAATTAATTAAACAATAAATTTATAACAATCTTGAAATGAATTGATTTATAACACTCAAAATATTATCATCTGACGTTCGTCGGATTTGACGTTTTAAGAGGCATGTTTAACTGCATCTAACGCGAAAGTGAACGACAAGAGCCTGTGACAGATGACGCAAGTTACAAATGACATTCTCCTGCAATATTGCCAAGTCGCATGTCATTTGAATGGTTCTAGCAGCTGATTGGTTGGGCTTATTATGTCACAGAGCCCGCCACAATCATCTCGTTTTGGAATTTTTTTTTCTAATCAGCCACTATTTTTAAATAAACTTTTAATGTCCAAAATATTGTTTTATGGTTTCAGGTATACACTTATTAAATTAGAACTATGGAATTCAACTATACTGTAAACCCGTATTTATAACAGGGCGAACTATTTAATACTTTGGCGTTGAAATTGGAACTGGCTGAAACGCAATTTGATTTGCTTATATAGCAAACGGCCCTCTTTTCTGAAAGTTCTCGAACGATTCGAGTGTTCTAGAATGCTCTCGAACCGAACACATCATATTTCCCAGAAAGATTGCGTCACAACCGCCTTCGTTCATTATCGCCGATGAGTAATCTTTCATAGCGGCTCGATGTCTATCGGGATTTCTGGAATATTCACTACAATACTTTTTAGTCCAACAGTGGAAATTGTTTTTAAGATTGCAGGTATTTGTTATAGTAATGTTAATAACTATTTTTTTGAAAAATTGTGTGTCCTTATCTCACAAGGCAGTTGCTTTTGTTTTCAGCAGAGGCAATCTTTTCCAAGGCGCGGATCCTTACCCATCGTTTTTGAAACTTGTATATGTTTGTCAAAGACAACTAATAGCGTTCTTAATAGAAAGCATTTCATATTTTTCATGGCATTTTGACCTCTATAGCGCTGACGCAGTTCAAAAATGGCTATTACTAAGAACACTAATCGACAGAAAGCCAACATCGAATGTCAAGGAATTTCGTATGCCTACTGTCACAGGCACCAAGTGGATAATGTCTTGTTAAAAATTAGCTTTATTATTATTTTCGGCTTGAAACCTAATTTTTTTGAATTATAACTGAATCTCATCCCTATTTTGACATGTGATCGATGCTTTTTTGCAGAGTTGTATGGGTTTGACATATTAATTGATGAAGATTTCAAACCGTGGTTACTAGAAGTGAATCTTTCACCTTCACTAGGCTGTGATAGTCCTCTCGATGTTCGTTTAAAATCCGCGATGCTAGCAGACCTGCTCACCCTAGTGGGTATACCTGCCGTCGATCCCCTCCTTCACTCATCAACAATTTCCGTTAACTCCTCCAGTTCGTCCACGAAAGGTTCTCACTTTAATGTGCTTAAAATGAAGCTCAGTAATGTAAGTGACACAAAATATTACGAATTTTATTTTTTTTATTGTCGATTAGTGTCGAAGAGTGCATTCGGCGGATGCCTTGCATCAAACCTCAACGAAGAAAAGTTCGACCACAACTCAGGGCAGGTTCTCGTCAAGTAAATTCGATTTAACCGCTGAGGAAATGAAGATCGTGCGTACGGCCAAACAGCAGTTTGAAAGGCGTGGTGGTTTTGTGCGAATTTTCCCAACTGTGGACAGTTGGTCAAAATATTCTCAGTATTTAGGTCCGATTTGCAGTATTTTCAACTCAATTCTAATAATTTTACTATAGAAACGGTAACTGGAATTCCATCAAATGGCGCACCATCAAGTACATATAACGTGTTAGGAACACACAATTATAATCAAATGCTATTTTTGCAATTGTATCCTGATGTTCCCCTGGGACATTCGTTGAAGAATTTGGACAAATCGATTAATGAGCGCAAAAGTGTTGGTATTGAGCGGAAAAGAGATTTATCACTGGATGGGACTGTAACAGACAAAGGTTGGTTTTCTGTAAAGCTGTGTAAATCCCTTGCAAAAGGATTTGTGTGACTAGTTTAGGTTTGCCTAATCGAAAGTAAGTCCTTTTGTGAGATCCAAAATCCAAAACCTGAAATCCATATGAAAGGGCTTTATTGATAAGTCCCAAATCCATATAATACATGAATCCTTGGAATTTCAAGCTTTCAAAACCTTATAGGTCCAATACTTTGCACAGTTTTGATTATGTCTACATAATTTACTAGTGAAGATATCTGTGTTTAGGTGTACCTCACAATCGCCAAGAACGGTACGAAAGAATGTTAAGTCAAGGCCATCGCCAAACTTTTGGCGTCAAAAAAATACCACTTCACGAATCACACTCCGCCGAACTGAAGCGGCAATTACTTGAATCAATGAAGGGGGGAAAGAGACTGACGTAAGTTCCTAACGTAGCCCCACGATGTTAATCGTCGATTCTATTTTAGGCAAATTGAGGCGCGTAAGGTGTTCAGCAGTTACTTGGCATGCATCTTGAAACGCATCGCGGCTGCTCCTGATCAGGAAGGTCACGTCGAGATAGTTCTTAAGTTTTTGCAGAAGGCTTCTAATTATCTTCGAACTCCGTTTTCCGTAAAGGTAGGTATATGAAATCGATTTATTGAGTGTCTGTAATGACAACTTTAGGTACCGAGCCAAAAACTCCTGGGAAAGGATAGGGCTGCTATCATTGCGAAGCAACTGAATGATTTTTTGTACATTTACAATAGAGAAACTGAGATGTATGGTGATGTTCTGCATCGACCTAGTGAGCTTCCCAGTAATTTATTTATTGAATTCCTTGAGAATGCTAGGTAAGAATGGTGTAGGTGTGCGTCTCGTTTTGCGCTGTGTAAAATTGAGTTGTATTGTCCAGTGAAATATATGTTACATTTCAAGTGCGTCATGTTGAACATTTTATGTCAGGAATGGGTTCGTTTTGCGGGAGTTAAACCTATCCGGAGCTAAAAATCATACACTCATTTCTTAATTTCCGATGCAAGAGCAACATGACGTCGATTAATTGTGATGATCAATTTAGAATTTACCCGTGGTAAACTTGATGGATGTTGTGTTTTGGTGTCAATTTTTCAATGCTACTGGATACCAACAGGGCGTCAATGCCTTCGTCTTTTAGTCATGTAACGGATGTTGCAATTAATTCTATTCTATCCTACCTCTGGTTAATCTTCATATATATTAATTAAATTGGAAGTGGTTCTTGTTAAGTAATTGTATATATAAATGTGCCCTGGCTAGCTGTCACTTAGTAATCCTTGTTTGGATTCTTAAGGATAAGGGTAAAGGGATAAATTATAACGTAAGGTTTAGGTTGGCACTGCGTTAACTCAAACCCGTTGCATAAACGGCCAACTAGCTCAGGGTTAGGAAATAAAATAAAAGCTTGAGATCTTCCACAGCAGTAGTTCGTTCAATTTTCTACACTTACCAATAGGGTTGAGCGCTATGGACGTTAAACATCCCATAAAACTCCAAATGAACTTCCCCCAAAAGAATAAATCCCAAGTCAATAAATAATGATCGATTAAACTAATTACTGAATCTTGAAACAATTTTTCCACAAGCAACTTGATATTTTCGGGCACAAATTTGCATGTACAGGGCCCAGTACAAATAAAACAGGCTCTAACCTTGAATAAAGCTAGTTGTTGACGCCAAGAAATTAGCTAAGTTCTCCCATCCAGTCCTGAAAACCTCCCAAGCTGCAGGGCTCAGTATATAATTAGTTGATTAATGCCCGAAGGGCCTCGCTCTACTCGTAATCTGTGTCTATATCGGGTACGATGGTGGATTCGCAACAACATTCGCGTTTCAAACTTGGATCATAACTTAACCGAGATGGCAAACATAAATATATTCGCATATAATCCTGAAGAGGCAAAATAGTTATCGTTATCAACTAATACACTAAAGAGCTACAGAAGTTGCTCCATATGAGAGTCGATCCTCTATGTTAATGTCTCCTTTGTGACTCGATGACCTTGTAACATAAAAGTGTATGGAACTTGAACTTTAACAGAAAGGTAACCCCCCTTTGATGACATAAAATTTACCTACATCCTACGAAGAAAAGGACATGAAAATAAAATGGGCACCCAAAAATGAAGGCAAAGAAAATGCGCTGTCATTTCTGCCCCGAAAAATTGCGTGGGTAAATTCCATCAATAGGGGGAGCCATCTATCAAATCGCTTCAAATGTTACAGAGATTCTTCGACTAGTCGTGAACAATAATTATGTTTCGTAATGGAGAAAATAAATCAGTACAAAATAATAAGTCAATAATCTTCATTAAATTATGAAACGTTTCTTATTTTCTTTGATACATCCTAGCTGTAATAGAATACACATTAGTAAATGAGGTTTGAAGCGAGACAATCTTGTAAAGCAAATGGTTAAAAGGCATTAATTCGCAAAAAAACATTTTGCATTGATAGAAAGTATTTTAACTTTATCTATAAATGAAACGAATATATAATGAGTAACTGTGCGGTACTAAAAGCAGATTAATTGTAGTTTCATAAACACCCTGTATAATAACAACAAATCGAATTGCAACACATTAATATAGAATTTTTAAGTGCGAAAAGAGTCCAACAACACCCACTCGATGCAAAATTGCAAGTACATAGGTGGTTAAATCGAATATACATATGTATACAAAATTAAATAGCGCTTGAGCATACAATTCTTTTCAATATTTTTGTAATTAAATCAATACATTACGACGCTAGTTCAAATATATAAACAAGGCAAACAAAGTGTAACACAACGGAAAGCGGCAAAACTACAACGCCTTAGAACAGTTGTTCATAAATACCTTCATATTTGTGCACCAGGAGTTCTAGATGCGTTCTGGTACTGCTTTCAATCAAAATGGAAAGAGTTCTCCTTCCAGCTGTATTTTGCACGTACCTGCTATTCTATTCTTTTGTATATAATCCTAGTCTGAGACCGTTTTTTCGATGTAAAAATCAAATTTGCTCTCCAGCTGCACTCTACACGGACCGGCTACAGAACCCCCCTTTGTGTTTCGCCTTGGTACTATATTTTATTTCTTGGAAATAAAAGATCGGATAATTTTGCCGACAAGACCATACTTGATACTATTACACGACAATTGCAGATCGCACGCACAAAGCTCGACAAGTTATCGATAAATCTGACTGTAAGGAATAAATCGCTGCGACGAACTGGGGTAGTTCGCGCACCTTGGTGAGCTTTTGAAATTAAATATAACCGATACAACGAAATATCGAAGGATTCTCACTATTACCATCACTTTTAACAACCATTTATGTTAACCTTGCAAAATGCATATAGTCAACAAAAATACATCAAATTCATGTCTTGAGTATTGAGATAATTGCTCTTCCTCTTTTTTCCAACGATCTTGGTGCGTGATTAACGATTTTGGCATGTTTTGATCAAAATACATGTGGCCTCAGAAAAAGAATTTAACATCTTTGATTCACACACGCGGTTATCAAATCTGCACGTGATGTACTCTTTCGGCATCAATATAATGCGCCACCAAGCGAACTGTTTCACGCCTGGTCGAGGTCGGCGGTAGTAGCGATCTTGTGGGAGGTTTCGGAAGCTTCGGATAAACGCAACCGGAGAAACGGTAGCTCCAGGAATCGGACGGGTTCAGAAAATGGCGGCGGTTACTTTGGAAAAACTAAAACAAAATTACGGCAAATCCCTAGCGGGAATGAAAGCAACAAAACACAAAATTGGCGGAAGTAGCGGAAAAGCAAATGCGGGAAAGCGAAAGTAACAAAGAAGCTCACCTTGAAGTTAACGGAGCGGTAGCAAAAGTTCGCTAAAAGCCAATAAATACGGGCGATAGCACAATTGAAACTGTACTGATGGAAAATAAATTTACGGCAATGGTAAATATTAATACAGTACTTACAAATATAATAGACAAAAATGCAAAAGCGAAAAGATTTACTTACTATTTGGTGAAACGCCAAAAGCAAAAAGAACAAGGAAAGGTTGCAAAAAATCGATTCATTACGAAATTTACTTGCAGCAAATAATTAAACAAAATCAAAACACAGCAAATAAGTAAATTCAGAAACTTCTTAGTGATGAAGCGCCCAACTTCAAACGCTTCTATATACCGAGTGTTCAGCAAAGCTGTTCGCCTCCACAAATATACGGTGTGGTCATAACTGCAGGTATGAACTTCAAGGCCGAAAACGGGTGCTTCGTTACACCGCTCTATAGTCCGGATTTAGCGTCGTGCGACCATCTTTTTGCCAAGTTGAGAAATCATAAGATCAAAAATTTGCTTATGATGGGGACCTGAAACCTGCTGCTATTGAGTATTTTGTAGGGCTACCAAAAGAATTTTTTTATATCTTTATTGCAGAAACAGTGGACAAAGTGTGTAGACGTTGGTACATATGTGGAAAAATAAATGTTGTTTTGTCTTAGATTACTCTCCTTTCATATTTAGATAGACGTCGCCTCGTATTTACAATAACAAAAAATGCGGACAATTTGGACGAAACAGTGAAGTTGATTCACCTAAATCTGCGTTTACACCAAATATTGGCTTTTGCTGCCAATGATTAGGTATAATTGTTGAAATAAATATAGTTACCTATTCAATTTATTGTAACTATGATACGATAATAGTTATTTATGTATTAAGGGCATAATAGTGATGTTTATATTCTCGAGGGCGACGAGTTAAAAAGCTCGAGGGCCTATGGCCCGAGAGCTTTTTAGTCGCCCGAGAGTATAAACATCAGTTTATGCCCGTGGTACATACACAATTTTATGTTTTACAAATAGTTTTCTTCGTCAAAATTCGTTTACAAAATAATTAATTCATTATGTTTGATCGAGTATGCGTGGTTCGAATTTGTTAATGTGATTGAAACCATCCAAACGTCAAACGTAATTTTAAATAATTCCATTCATCGTGAATGAGCAAGAAGTTCCAGAAACTATACGAAATAAGTCCAATCTTGTGATTTAGTAGCTATTGACAATTAATAATTGACGTTTCTAATTTTCAATGACCTGCAAATATTTGTTTGTTTTGTCATTAAGTATAAATGAGTTACTATGGTGATACTTAATGCCCTAGGGCATAAAGTGGTACTTTATGCCCGCGTATCACAGATATAAAGTGTGCTATTATAGGTTAGTAAGACATAAAAAAATATTTAGTTCATCTGTCATAATTATACAATATACATGTTTTCAGTTTATTGCTCTAATAGTTTCAACAATAATCAGTGTCTGTGCTATTATACCAGTAGTTGCTCGAGTAGTTGATACTACAAAAATATAGTTTCTGTCTACATATTTGAATATTTTTAACCTGTAATTGCCCTCTACGTAGGAAAACTTGGCACTTATGGTATATATGGTGGCAAGATTTTAGTATTAATCTCAAATTACACATTTCCAGTTAGAGAACATAACTAATTATTTGAAGTACAGTACCTACTATAACAAAACAGAAATGCATCTGCAGAACTTATTCGATGTTTCAATACTTGCTATTGTAGGTCATTTAATTAAATATTTTTAAATAATTTCTAGGGAATGTGACCTGGAGGAAGTTCTTGTGGAGCAGTCCCTGCATCCCACGTCAACGAATAATAAAGGAACCGGTTTCCAAAATGTGTTAAAATGCCTACCAAGTGCCAGCCAAACCTATTTAAAAACCACATCACGACGGCCTGCTCCGAGAAACGCGTGTAAAATTTCATCTCGCATTTCCTGATCGATATTTGCGTGTAATATTGTCAATTTCTGTTGACTATAACAACGGCATCTACTGCGAGTGAGATTATTGTAAGTTTTAAAACAATTTGTGATAAATTATTATTATTTTTATTGTTTTATTTAGCTTCATTCGACTTTTTTTGTGTTACACTGTTAGTATTTTGATTGATATAAGACTGTTTTTCTAATAGAGGATTAATTGATTTATTCTGTTGCATTTACAAATACTTATTTTTTTCCAATAATAACAACATTGGTTTACAATTTGTAATAATACTCCCCATATCTGGTGCGTGTGTCTGTATGTTGTGACTTTTGGGTGATTAATTTTGAAGGGGTGAGTAATCAGTAGTACAGTTAGGAAGGCATGTTATTGTGTGATGGTGAATGGATTTGGTTGTCATAAACAAAATTTAATCATTCCTTAAATATTAATGCTAATGGCACATTTTCAAGTTCTTCAAGTTTCTCAGTGGAAGGTTGAACTTAATTTTTGACATGGCTAGAAAATTGTGCTGCGATAATTTAGACTGTTCTGTGTTGAAATACTCCCCAACTCTGTTTGTATACTTAGTTAAAAAACGTTGAAAACAATCATTTTATTTGCACCAAATACCTGTGCATTAATTATTGTTACAAACACAATGAAGCTATTACCAATGGCGACGTGACAATCAAACAAATCTATCTCGCATTATTTTTAAGCAAGTCACAAGATGAAAGAACACTGGCCCATGTTTATGTTTAAATCGCCCAATTTTATCTTGTACGATTCGCAAGAACATTGCTAGGGTTGAAATCAAGGACCCCGAAAACCCCTAGTACAAAATTACAAACCATTTCTTTAAAAATTCAACTTTTTGGCATAATAAAACGTCATATTGGATCCGCCATTTTGAATTCCGTAATTCGGACTTCGGATTCTTAATCAGCGAACTCAAAAACTCCCTAGTACGAAATTATAAATAATTTCTTTAAAAATACAAATTTTTCACACAACACAACACCACATTAGATCCGCCATTTTGCATTTTATACTTCTGACATAAATTGCCATTATTATTAATTCTTTCATTTGGTGCTTTTTCACAAAGAACAGATTAGTCGGAACTAAGTTCAGCTTTCAATTGGAAAACCAAGTAACTTAATGTTGCCACTACCTCCATTTTCATACAGATCACACTACCGTGAGAAGCTGGTACGAAATTAGTTTTACGAAATATTGAGGCCGAATTTATAATACGCTAATGTGTTGCAATATCAACGAATTTATGGACTTCTCAGTAGTAATAGGGATTCATGTTAATATTATGGGTGTGATGTGACGTGCTGAATAGTCGCAAGTGTATTTGTACTGATGAAGTTGGGTGTTGGCCTAGTTATCTACTTTAAGGTTCCGAATCCGCTTAAAATAAAAATGCCAATATTATATTACATAAATTACGCCAATTGAAAATGCCTATCAGAAATTTTGCAGTTTTTAATATCAAAACAATCTGAATGTGTTCATTTGCATGTATCAATGTTGTTAATGAGAACTTGCTATGCATTAAATATTTTTCTAAAGCAGAATATATATTTAGATATGCCTAGAGATGCACAATTTTAGATTTAGGTTATTTACTATGTTTGGTTTGTTCCCATGCGTGTATCAAGTCATTGGAGTACGGTGTAGTTTATTAGCACTGATTGAAGTATACCATGATATACCTACTGATGAGATGAAAGATGAGTTATAAGAGATGAGAAAAAAATGATTTGTACCATAATCACTGGATTTTGCATTAATTAATACTTCAATCAAATCATTGATATCAGCGGTTTTTTATGTGACCGGGTATACTACAATGGAACAAGCTTATCAGCAATGACTGAATTAGATTAGCTGGCAGTACAGATCAATTATTTATGTACTTATTACTACAAGCACGAATGTGATAGCCAACCAAATCATTTAACAATTAGACATAATTGAAGAGCAAATAATTAGTTTTTAGTCAACTGTATCACACTGAAGTGAGACTTATTTTTCTAAATGCAATAGTAACATCAATGACTAAGTTTTAAACGAGTATCGGTATACAAAGATGTTTATGGTGGCTATAATTATTATGTAACTTTTTGCTTTAAATATTGGTGATTGTTACACCACCAATCTAAATGTATTATTCTTAGTTTGTCTAGTGCACATATCAACTGCTCAAACCTTATATTGGGTGCTTTGCTTAATTTAAAGATTAAATGTTTGTTATTGTTCACACTGTTTTTCAGTTTTTAATTTATATTAATCATTTGTTTTGTTATGATTAGATTGATTTGTCAATCTTTAATTACTGAACTTTAAATATTTTATTGTTTATTTATTGCAGTTTAGTCAATTTGATAAGAATTACAAGAACTGAATTTGTATTTTATTTATGTATTATGTAAACTAGTCACAAGTTACACAATATATAATTACACTTGGGTCTTTCTATTCTTAGTCTTTGAGGTTCAAATGTAGGTAGCTGTTTGGTAGCTGTAATAATTTCAACAACTTATCACAAAGATTGTGTAGTATGATCTTTGCCTATCCCTAGAGATTTTATCATATGGCTATCTAAAAAGAAATATCACAGTGTATTTGACATGAACTATTTTGTACCTACTTTTAGTATTTCAATATTTAAAAGTATTTAAATACTTTCGTAATATTTAAATCCTTTGGAGGTATTTGCTTATGTTGCTTAACAAGTATTTAACATTTAAATACTTTTGATTTTTGGAAAGTATTTAGCATTTTAATACTTTTAAAAAGTATTTTGCCTAGGTCTGTCTGATAATTTAAACCATCTTATGGAAGTATGTTAATACCTTTATCAAATGCCTGATAAATAAATGGTTAGATGAAACATCACCACTAATGGAGTTGAGTTATGAGAATGAGGATCGCGCGCATTTATTTAAAATGTATAAAAGATAAATTGTGACTCACCTTTCTACAAAAAAATTAAAAAAATTTCGAGCAAGCCAAAATGAATGGATGAAAAGTAAGTTCGGACTGCAGATGTAGGAGAACTCTATTAAACAGTGATTACAGAAAACATACACATATTTAAATGCTTATTATTATTTATAAGTGGTTGAAGATAGATGTATGCTGTTGTCTTTTTATTTTTATCGGCCCTTTACACATATCTATAATTTTTTTCGAATCTATTTAATGTTGCCCTATTTGAAATAAATGTGCGTGATCGTGATTTTTGTAAGAAGACTCTCTTGTGGAAGTAGACAGAACCCAAACACGATTCTTATTTAATGCTGTAAGTCCACCTTATATTTGAGGCAAGCTGTAGGATGCTGGTAGGAGAATCACCTAATCTTAATCATCTTTAGCAAGGATTAAATCAACATGGATCTTTCCAGATGAGGCTGTACCATGTGTAGCATTTTCGGTGAGCGGGTGTTTTAGCAAAGCCTATATTTGTGTTTAGAACTTAGAAGTCTAGTCACTGTCACGCCAGAATGTGGGATTGTCCTTTGGTGGCCTCCCTTTGGATAAATCGCAAAACTGTTGTTTTGAGTGAATTGAGCGCGCATGGAGATTAGTTGTGAGATGATTTTTGTATGTGGACTGACTCGTTTTATTTTTAATGTTTTTCTAGTTGTACGCCGTATTTCTAACAACTGTAATCGTTAGTTCCATTAAATTTATGTTTCGTTTCCTGTCTTTTGAATCCAAATATTAAAGTGTTGGGGAGATACCAAAGGACAGTTGAAGATATCATAGAAGCAGTCCTAAAAGTAACAGTGATGGTGCTTAGCAGATCTAAAGACCAATCCAGCAAAAGCAGTTATAGTACCCTTTACAAGGAAAAAGAAAACTGCATTTTCGATAGCACCAAGCACAAACATGATCCTATTCAACACCTACATTCAGTAGACACACTATTTTTATTTATTGTACCTAGGACTAACCTGAATAGAACCAACCAACATCTGGTCACTGGTGGCATGCAAGCGTCCCTAACTGTCCCACTGGCTGTACAAAACAATGATACGCCCCTAATCATCTGAAAGTACAGCATTTGAGCGAAATTCAAATTAGGCAGGGTCTAGTACCTAAGTACAAGTCATATGAGGTACTTCAGCAACTGCATTTGACACAGTAGCTACTGTAACGTGATTTATTCATTTTAACAATTAATTTATAGGTAACAGTCTTGAAATGGATAGGAGAACAATTAATTTTTCTATATAAAACAAGGCGTACTCTATCACGAAACAAAATGTTCTTTAACTGTTAGGAATCAGCAACGGCTTATCTACATTTTTAAATTCCTTAAATGAAGCAATAATATACTTTTTTAACAAAAAAAACAAGTTATAAGAAGCTAATAACAATAATTTTTAAATGAAATAAAAAATGTTTAAGGAACTATTTACTTTTCAGGTCTTCGCTATTTACCCGTCTTTCCAATAGCCTTTAGAATCTTCCTTACTTAAAAGAAATTTTTAAAACTTTTATTTTTATCACTGACGAGACTGTTTCAATATTCAATAAATTTCTTTATTTTGTCCACTGTTGTGCCACTAGTGAAAATATTCTTTCAGCGTTGTCATTATGAGCAGGAATGCAAAAAAGTAGTACGCAATTTTCAATAACTCCGAGTACCTATAAATGAGCATTCAGTGTTTTAAAAAATTGAAATCAAAGCTGTTTTGCGCTTGAAAATTTATCTTGTTGGCTTAAATTTTGACACAAAGATTTTTAATTCACCCACTCAGTACCTCAAAACCCGGACTACCATTGAAAACCCGCCCGGACGCCCCCTAAACTAGGACAAATCCGGACGAATGGCAACCCTAGATACGATCATCCGAAATGCTTATGATTGGTCAATAGTTTGAAATGTCAAGCACATTTCAAATTATTGACCAATCATAAGCATTTTGGATGACCGTATCGTCGGATTTCGTGTTCATGTGAATCCAGCTTAAGGACGACATACGAATTAAAAAATTGAACCAGTTATGAAATGAGGCAACCATGATTCAGCTATTAAATATCAGAGCTCGCAGCATGTTTTAAAATCGAAAGATAGTGACGTATTATCTTTGTAGTAAATAAATTGTGCTGCCACATCGTGTCGAGTAGATGGTATTATATCTACTTACACAATTGGTTTGTGTATACTCTAAATTAAATTACTTTTACATGTTGGCTGCCATGACCTTGTGCACATTCCTTTGCTTATTTAAAAGAGATAAAAAACAGCTGGTTGACATAGATTAAATTGCATTTAAAGGTACACGCAAAAACCGATTATCATTTGTTAATATTCTTATAATTCTTTGACGTGATGAATTTAAAAGGATACATAGGGGAATTTGCTTTATTTACAAAAAACTGTTTGTTTTTGTTTATTTTGTCATACCTACAATTTGTAATCATTATTTTCACTAATACTTCATACTATGCGATCAGAAAAGAGTTGTTGTCGAGCAACCTTTGGAATTTTTGGTTACCCAGAAAATCGGCGACTCGATTGTCAATCCTTTTTTGATCGCCCCTTATATGAAAAGCTGGAGAAATCCTACTTGGGGGTTATCTCTGCCCTCGAAATTGACAGAGGATGCCCAGGGGCGGCGCTACGAGGGTGCAGTGAAGTAAAAAATTAACCGTGCCGAAAAAATCGTTACTCGGGGCAATTAATATTTTTTTACTGAAAATTCACCCCCGCCCCTGTGATGTCTACCCCTGAGCATACCCGGAGAATTTGGACAGTAGATCTGGTCTCTGCGCCAACGAAGATAATAAATGCATTTTTGCACCCCTGTGATTTTTAGGAAATGTACGTAGGATAGACATAGGATAAGAGCAGCGTTACACAATCTTGTAAATGTAAAATTTCCAAACGGTTTTAACTACTTGTCTTCTTTTCCGGAGGGGCGGAGGGTCGCCCACACACATTCAAATCACACATGTCATTTTATCTTAGTAAACGAGAAAGGAATGTTGGCATAGGTCACGTTTATGTACTCGTCTTTAGACAAACAACCATTCATTGTACTCAATGACATCATAATCGGATGCAGCAGTTCCTTTATAATATTTTTTACAGACGCGCGCCAAGTTAAGTTGTACCTTAGCGACATCTAGAAATAAATAGCTGCACTACTGCTGCTTGCCGCCATTGTGATGATGTAACTTTTTAAAAATGAAATCTTTGAGAATGACTCCTGGCCGCAATATTGGGTTTTAAATGACAAAACTTTCAATATTGAAAGAGGAGGAACAGTTTTACAGCGACTGTACTTTAAAATTCAACAATTGCTTAAAATAAAATATAAAATGTGCCCTCTTATTTTATCAATATTGTAGCAATTACTGTCTTTCTAATAAAACCCTTATATAGTCGCTCTAGAGTAATGTATGTAGAATTTATATTTTCAAAAACCAAGCTAAAAAATGATTGTATAAGCCCAGGAGTCATTCTCAAAGTTTGATATAATTTTACAATGCAATTTGTCCTTGGCGACCTCTATTGGTTCTCATGAATAGTATGCCGTCTTTTAATGCCTTGACCCACTCGTTTGTAGAGTGGAACTTTTAGACGCGCATCTACCTACCCCTGTACAGGGTGGAAATTCGTGGCTCACCATTGGGAACTCCGCAAGGTGAGCGAGATACAGTGTAGGCTAAATAGGGGCAAAGTTGTCCCTTTTTGTGACTAAAAAAACGCGCTTAATATTTTCGAAAATCTTTGAGAATAACTGAAATATCGCCGAAAAACTGAAAACGTTACATTTTGTTCTCATTTTCCATAGCAACAGTCGGAAATGGGCGGTTCTCGTTAGCACTTTTTTCAGAGAATATGAATCTGGTATAATTTCCATAGCACGCTAGATGTAGAAACTACAGACTACTACTTGCTTATTTTTTTGAATTTATAAGAAATGAGATAGAGGACAAAAAACAAAAATAATGCTGTCACTGTGGTAATATAGAAACACATTATTTATTGCCTCATTCTAATCTAGTTTGTAATGTTATTTTAATGTCATTTCCTATATTGTCATTGCCAATAATTTTGTTGAATAAAACCGTTTATTCTAAAGGTTTTATCTATATCAATTTATTCAACAAAATAAAATAATGGAAAAGTTTCTGAAACCCATTCGATTGGATATTGATCCATCAGTTAGTTCCGCCTCCAAGGAATGGGAGCACTGGCTCCGAACCTTTGAGAACTTCCTCTTGGCATATACACCGACCGAAGAAGAAGATTTGCTTCTTTTTGCACCCAGTAAGTTGAATTTGCTAATCAATCATGTGTCTTCAAGGGTATACTCATATATCAGTGAGTGTTCAACTTATGACGCTGCTATCAGCGTACTAAATACGATTTTTATCAAACCTAAGAATATTATCTACGCCAGGCACATGCTAGCTACTAGAAAGCAACTTAATGAGGAAAATATCGATGCATACATACAGGCCTTAAAACTATTATCTAGAGAATGCCAGTTTCAAAGCGTGGACGCCGAAACTAATCGATCTGACAATATACGTGACGCATTTATTTCGGGAATCCAGTCAAATAAGATAAGACAGCGATTACTCGAGAATCTGACGTTAACCCTCGATGAAGCGTACAATCAAGCATTATCCTTAGAGATGGCAGAGATTAATTCCCAACAATACAACGTTATTGGCTTAAACGCTGTTCAACAACTTGGAGGAGGAGTATCACAGCCTGAAGATCAGTGCGAGGAACATACCGTCGCAGCTTCGCCCTCTTACAAGAGCTCTTACAAAAATAAACGAAAATGTTTCTTTTGCGGAAGTGGACGCATTCATCCCCGAAAGGAGTGTCCTGCTGTCAACCAATCCTGTCAACTTTGTGATAAGAAGGGACATTTCGCGATAGTGTGCCGCAGTAATAAGCCAAATAATGCTGCAGTTTTGGAACGAGGAGAAAATACTTCAGCATGTATAGGTATTGTAGCAGCTTCTCCCAGCTCTTTAAAGAAAGCAACTGTAATAGCATATATTCAAGGAGTCCGAGCTGAAGCACTGATTGATACAGGTAGTAGTTTGAGTTTCATAGATGAATCGTATTTTAATTTGTTACGACTTAAAAAGAAACCTAGTAACCAATGTATTTCAATGGCTTCAACCTCTCTAACATCACAAGTTGCAGGAGAAACCTGGGTATCTGCTAAAGTCGGCCAGTACGATTATCAAAATTTACATTTACTGATAGTGAAGGATTTGTGCGCTGATTTAATTATAGGTCACGATATTCTTAAAAAGCATTCTTCTCTTGAATTAAATTTTGGTGGAACGAAAGAACCTATCAAAGTGTGTGGAGTTGCGGCAGCTTCTGTACCTGCGGTACCCTTATTTTCAAATATTTCTTCTGATTGCAAACCTATTGCTATAAAGTCTCGAAGGTATAGCGAAGATGACAAGAAATTTATAAAAGAAGAAATACGAAAACTGTTGATGGAAGGGATCATCGAAGAAAGCACCTCTCCCTGGAGAGCTCAAGTTTTAATTACGAAGAATGCAACTCATAAAAAGCGTCTTGTAATCGATTATTCACAGACAATAAATAGGTATACGCTGCTGGACGCATATCCTCTTCCAAATATGGAAGAATTAGTATCTAATATATCGAATTATTCTATATTTAGTGCAATCGATCTGCAAAGTGCTTACCATCAGATCCCAATCTTATCCGAAGAACGACTATATACTGTTTTCGAAGCGCACGGAAACCTCTATCAATTTCGCCGAATTCCGTTTGGTGTAACTAATGGAGTGTCAAGTTTTCAAGGAGTTCTTGATTGGATCATTAGAGAGGAAGAATTGGAGGGAACATACGTCTATTTGGATGATATAACCATTTGCGGCAAAACTTTACAGGAGCATGACAAGAATCTCGAGAAATTTATGGCAGCCGCTTCCAAATATGGGCTGACTATTAACAAAGAAAAAAGTAAGTTCTCTCAAAATGCAATTAATATCCTGGGTTATCATATAAAGGATCATGTAATCAGACCGGATCCCGACCGCCTTCGACCACTTATTAGTATGCCGCCGCCCCATGATTTACCTTCATTACGAAGAGTTATGGGTTTGTTTGCCCACTATAGCAAATGGATACCAAGATTTTCGGAAAAAGTTCACGCCTTATCAAACACAAAGAATTTTCCATTAGGGAACGAACTTGTACAACGCTTTGAAGAGCTCAAATCTGATATTGCAAAATCAGCTATTAACGCTATAGATCATAACGTGCAGTTCACTGTCGAAACAGATGCTTCGGATCATTCCATAGCGGCAACCTTATCCCAGGCTAACCGACCGGTTGCATTTTTCTCAAGAACACTAAATAAAAGTGAACACAACCACGCTGCTATAGAAAAAGAGGCATATGCAATTGTCGAATCGTTAAAGAAATGGCGTCATTTCCTCATTGGCAAACCATTTCGTCTTATTACTGATCAACGATCTGTATCCTTCATGTTTAATAATAAACTATCAAGTAAAATTAAAAACGAGAAAATACAGCGCTGGCGTCTGGAATTAGCGCCATTCAAGTATGATATTGTGTACCGACCAGGAAAGCAGAATGATGTTGCAGATGCATTGTCGCGTGTTTGTGCTAATATGCAGACTCGCTCTGATAAACTCATTTCTTTACATGACGCATTATGCCATCCTGGTGTTTCGAGAATGACACATTGGGTGAGATCGAAAAATTTGCCTTTTTCTGTAGAAGAAATCAGGAAAACGACTAATTCATGTCGCGTCTGTTCAGAAATAAAACCTAAATATTTTAGGTCTGCTACGCCTGGTCCTGGTTTGGTAAAAGCTACCTCGCCATTTGAAAGATTAAGTATTGATTTTAAAGGACCAGTTCCTTCTAATACGAAGAATAAGTATATACTCACTATTATCGATGAATATTCACGTTTCCCATTTGCCTTCCCATGCGCTGACATGAGCTCTAAGACAGTAATCAAATGTCTTAATGACATATTTATGCTATTTGGTATGCCGTCTTATCTTCATTCAGATAGAGGGACTTCATTCGTTTCTTCGGAGGTAAAAGATTTTCTAAATTCACGAGGAATAGCTACAAGTAGGACTACCCCGTACAATCCTCGGGGAAACGGTCAAGTTGAACGATTAAACGGAACCCTTTGGAAGACAATCCTGTTGGCATTACGATCAAAGAACTTATCAGTAGATAATTGGGAAAAAGTATTATCACAAGCTTTACATTCGATACGATCCCTTCTGTGCACAGCTACAAATTGTTCGCCGCATGAGAGGATGTTTAAACATACAAGAAGATCTTCTAATGGGGTCTCGCTACCAACATGGTTGACGAATTCGGAACAAGTTCTAATGCAGAAATTCAATCGCTCCAATAAATACCAACCACTTGTGGAGGAAGTCACACTGCTTCATGTAAACCCCGATTACTCTTATGTTCGCCTTGCAGATGGTCGTGAATCGACTGTTTCAAATCGTCACTTAGCACCATTGAATCAAGAAGGTGAAAGAATTCCGGATATGATCAACATAGAACAGCGAGAAACTTCTGATTCAGACCAATCACCTGTAGAGCAAGTTGGCGAACCAAGATCGTTTTTGGATTCAGAAAGTGAAAGAATAGAACAGCCAGTAACTACTGATTCAGACCAATCGGCTGCAGAGCAAATTGAATCACCATCGAATTTTATTGACGAAGCGATTTCACGAAGATCAGTTAGGGAACGTAGGCTCCCAATCCGTTACAATGATTATATTTTAAAATGATGTGTGGATGAATGTGGTAATATAGAAACACATTATTTATTGCCTCATTCTAATCTAGTTTGTAATGTTATTTTAATGTCATTTCCTATATTGTCATTGCCAATAATTTTGTTGAATAAAACCGTTTATTCTAAAGGTTTTATCTATATCACGTCACATTCTATACTTTTACCAATGCTTTTACATAAATTTACAAGAACAATTTCCAAATCAAAAGTTTTACATTTATTTCTCAACAATACACCCACGGGCAACTATAGATCTTGACGAACCTAACATGACTATGATGGTGATGGATTCTTTTTATGCCCTCTATCTTTTTACTTTAAGGCTGGACAGTACACCTGTTTCGTTGCCCGAAAATGCTTGATTTCCACGATATCTTCAAATATTTTTTTTAGGGGTAACGTCGAGGGTTGTTAGGGGCCTGCAATATTTTGTAAAAGAAAAAAGGAAACAAATTTTCCGGACGTTATTGCCTAGATACCTATTAACTTTACGAACTTATAGCAATTTTGGAAATTGCTTGGACTTCATTTATAGATAAGTTATCTTGGAAAAACGACTTAAAAGTTTACCACGAGAAAGCGAAAATATAGCTTCCGCCGCGCGGCTACAGATAGAAAATGTGCATTATAATTAGACTAAGTTTTATGTTTCTACCATCGAACACACATTAATATTATTAATAACCAAATTTGGGGATTGACAATAGGCAACTTTACATACTCCGTTCTGTATGTAGTGTCCAGTGATCAGGTGAACTGAAATACTTCACTTCACTTTGATATTGAAGATCATTTTTAGTATAGCCATGATTACTGATATGTAGCTTTAAACAAACCAGAAATCCGAAATGAGTAATATTACTTACAGATTTCTTCTGGAATTGATCGACTGTCCGCCTATATATAGGGAATTTGGCTATGTATACTTAAAAAAATCGGATCAAACGCATGTACGAGTAGTAATAGATGGCTATAATAGGTAACCTCTGCATGAATTTGTTTTAAACGTTAATCAACGTCTGCCATGGAAACAGTAACTTGAATGTTCAATGTCAAATTAGCGTCAGCAATTAGTTCTTTATTTTAATTATTAGCAGCAATTTGTAAATTTTTAGCGCATTTTTCAAGACCGGACCCACTTCTGCCGTTATGAACTACGTTTCTAGGGGCCTGGTCCTAGAGTCCTGGAATTTCTTGCAGTAGATACTCTATACCTTGAAGGTTTGCCAGAGAGCCATCAAATTTCGCAGTCTAAATGTCCCCCCCCCCCCCCCACGAATTATTTCCTGAGATGCTGTTTTTGAAAGTAAAACGTGCATAATTTTTACATACGACAACCAATTGGTCCCAGTTTGTGGTGCCAAGTTAAACTTTAGAAAATGGGGGGGGGGCACACGTTGTACCCTTCATGGTATTCTAATAAAAGGTCTCATCGAAATAAATTGGTTTGTACAAACTATAACCACAGATATACGTAAAATATATCTGTGCTATAACTTTCCCGTGCGACTCAGTGAGCGACGGGGCCGGGGGGGTTAAAAATTAATTTTATCTCTCACTGTATTCTAATTAAAGGTCTCAACGAAAGGAACCGTTTTCTACCAACTACTGCCCTTCTTTCTGTCCTCTTATCAAAGTACGGGGTGGAGGGGGAGGGGGAGAAGTGGAACTAGTTTTATCCTTCATGGTACTCTAATGAAAGGT